TCAGAAATCTTATCAAAGTCCCTTGAAAGAGGTTCATAAGTCTTATCAGATCCGAAAATGTCCCCCAAAGAAAAGGCTCATAAGTTTTAACAAAATCAAAAAACATCCTCTCGAAGAGGCTCGTATGTTTTTACATGTAATTATTCATTCTTGAAGCCAATCACTCAGCTGGAACACAGCCAAGAACAACAAAACTGTCCAGAGTGCAGACCTCAACATCACTGAATGTGTTTGGGATTATTTTATGAAAAGCAGAAAATGTAACAAACTTCTACGACTAAACGTTGGAGATGTGGAAAAATATCTTGCAGACCTCTTTAAAAACTGAGGGTGGACACACTAAATACTGAAAAAGTTTATATTACATTTACTTGTTGAGGTTTCTCTCAATTTTCTGTTGAATATGTTTTCTGGTTTTGTTTTGTTTTTTTCTGATGCTAATGAATCACTTATACATAATGTTTTGACTGGAAATTAATTAAATGAAGAACACTGTATATAATATAGCATACTATTATAAAATATCTTTTTAAAAATTAGATTTGAACCCTGCCCACCTTCATTTGTACACTATTTTGTCTTTTCAGCCCTCAGCCTACCACAGACATTGTGCTTTGGCCCCTCAAGACAAAAGTTTGGGCACCCTTGGTTTCCAAGTTGACCTACTTTTGATTCCACTGTTCCAACAAGAATAAGTAATCAGTGTCATCAGTGTGTGTCATCGGTGTGTTTTATTGATGGTCAAAAGGTGAAACCTGAACATTCGTATGACAGCATTCTTGAATATCATCTTCAATGAAGAGAGCAAATAAACAATCCTCTGTTGTAATCAAACTCTGACAGTGATGATATCATATTCAGGCATTGTACATATTTCGGCCGTCTGTTTCAGTAGTTCATAAAGGGCTAGATTTTTCCACCAAAGTGTGGGGAATTCCTTACTAGAAAAGACGCACAAATTGACGTTTTATGCAGCGGGGCTTTTCCTCGTTCTGAACAATAAGAGCATTCATCAGTTTCATCAACAGACTCCTCCTGTGTTCCATGAACCGGGGTGAGACGCCAGCTGGTGGGTGGATTTTTTGGGGGCAAAAGTGTGGATTCTGAAAAATTCTTATTTAGTAGCTCACAAAAGAAAAGTGACCTGTTGAAATGAAATACTTCATGGAACATTTGGCCGCCCTTGAAACAATGACAGTAGACCTTCACCAGCATTGTGTATCCAAAAGTTTCTATATGTCTGCTCATCCAACATTTCTTCTAAAATCAAGAGTATTAATAGTCCTCTGTAAGCCTCTACTTTTCTGGCAAGGCCTTACATTAGATTTTAGAACATTGCTTTGAGGATTGGATTGCATTCGGCCAGAACATTAGCGAGGCCAGGTACTGATGTTGGATGATTAGTTCTGGATCACAAAATCATCCCAAGGAGGGTTGTAGCGATAGGAAAAGTTAAAAATTCAGCTTGATACGATAAGGTGGTGACTTAATAGGACACATTTTCCAATGTAATAAAAAGGTGTGCCTGAATATGTGCCTTGTGTCCATATGTTAATGTTAATACATTAATGTTTGCTCTATGCACACTCCTTGGCTAGGTTAGCCTCAGTGAGCTGATCAGCTAGTCATATATGCTATGGTTCATAAATAGCTTTGTTCACCATTTTTGTAGGTTTGGAAGGAGAATTCTGTTAGGTAGCTCTGATTTCTGGGCAAGTTCTGCTGCCAAACATAAAGTTTGCTTGGTACCTTTCCCCTCCTCATCTAACACCCTTCACTCGAGTTAATGAAGTAACAGAACAGCCTTTAAGGTGCTGTCAATAATTCAATAATGACCAAGTGAAAGTTGACAAGGGCTTGTAAGAAGCAGTTTTGGAACAGACGGATGGTGTACTTGACCATGTCCTTTGTGCTTATCTTGTGATTAGAAGGCTCATGTATAACACATCACAATCACGACAGGGATCATATCCTCTAGTACACATTCACATACAGTATGATTTGGAGGCTCATGTTTAATGCATCGTAATCAAAGTCATATGTTGTTCTGCTTTTAGAGTTTCACAAACTAGCTTTTAATAATGAGAGCAGTTTCATATTGACGTTTCAAGTAAACGTCTCGCATCCAGTGGTTGAATGAACCCATGTTTTCACAGAAACGTGTTTTCCAGAGTGCTTCATTACTGCTTTAACTGCAATAAAGGCTGGCCATTATCATCAGCTTTGGAGAGATGTCTTTTTTTCTTTCTGTGACTTCTGCAAAGAGGCTTTACAAAGTGTAAAATATTTTTGAAAAGAATATTACCTCAGTATTAGAGTACCTCAATCAAAGAGAATGATCTGAGCAGAGCTCACCGTTTTGTTTTTCAGTTTTGACCAGATTGTTATTGTTTAACCCCTTAAACTATATGGGACTGTGTGTGAGTCTACATTCAAGGCCCTTACTGTCACATCCACATTACTTATATAATATTTTCATTGTAGTTCCTGAATAATTTGATGAATCCTTGTGTCCAAAATAGTTACTTTACAGGAGAAGGGACAAACATTTTAAAGGGGGACTCCATCCGTTTTTCAAAATTTCTGCCTAGTTCAGTGGTTGAGATATAATCGAAGTTATCAGTGTTTTGATGTGCAATAGTTTCTTTGCAGTGGTGGTGACAGGAACCAGGTCAGTGTTTACAACAGCAATATAGCTATTTCATTTACTGTCCAAAATCACCAGTGAACCTACACTTGTCTTCTGAGTTTTATATATAATGTTAATGATAGTAAAATATTGGTAAAAATTGATAAATGGAGTTTAGAGAAAACTTTCCATCTAAGATAAAATCAACAAGTGTCAAAATATCACTGTGTCTGCTATGGAGATGCTAACAACTGTTAACAGCTGTCTACATATGGCGAACTTAACTTAGCAGAGGCCGGACAAGAACCTTGAAGCGCACAAATTCACAGATCAGTGAATTATAATGCAAGTAGTTTGATTATGTAAGTTTTCAAAGCCTTAATGGTTTAACATTTCTGCTCATGCACTCTGCACCTACCATGAAAGGTTAAAAGTGTGAATTATTCTTACTCTTTTTTTCTTTATTTAGGCAATTTTTTAAATCAAATGCATCAAGTGTCTCAATAAGTCAAGTCATAAAGGTCACAAATCATCAGCACACATGCATGCAATTAGTCACCTGAACTAAAAATAGGCCACCACAATTGAAATAAACTAGCTGGTAAATTAGTAGTGAAATAACTTCAGTAACATCACATCATGAGAGAAATGACTCCTTTTACTCAATCCACTGCCCTGAATGGGCCTCACAACAGTTCACATCCCCCATAAACTTCTATGAATCGTCTCTCCAGGAAAGTCAAGCACTGATTTTAATCTTTCTTGACTGTGAACATGAAACACACCACTTCCTTAAAGAAAAATATGCTTCATTTCCTTCTTCTGGCTAATGCTACCTAAAAAAGGTTGTACAGGAAACTTAAATGTACAGTAGCTTTTACTTTTTATGTAATTCATCTCCAGCTAATCACCAGGTATTTAATCTCAGGTTGATCTTTATCAGCATTTCAAATTCCATCTGTCAACTGTCAAGAAGGAAGAAATGTTACATAAAACCCAGTGCCCATATGGAACAAAATATATATGAGCATGTATTTGAATAGAATTGAAATACATGTTAAATACATTGCAGTCCATGTGGAAGTACATTCCAAACTTTAAAATGTATTTTCAAATGCATTTATTTTAAAACATAATGGGGAAATATTACACATAGAAATGTACCGTACAAAAATAAATGCATGTAAATGTATTTATGACATTCATTTGAAAATGTATGAAAGTAGACAAAATACGTGTCTAACGCACTTTACTGTTTGGAATAACTTTTGAAATGAATTTGTATTCCAGTATCTTCATTTTAAATATTAGCAAATGAACCTTTAACATGGCAAAAACAAGTGTTGTATGTGTTGATACAGTGTGAAAATGCAGTTATGATTTGATATCTTGTTTATTTGAAATACATTTTGTGTGAGTGCTGTATTACTGCATACGTACATGGTGTTATGCAAAGTACAATGCAAATTTAGCTATGTCTGTAACCTTTGTTGAAACTACACACAACTGAAAAATACAATAACAAATACAAACACAATTTAAAAATATATATATATTTATCAAATACATTTTTTGACATTTTTATTCATTGCAAAAATATTTTCATAAATACATTTGGAATATATTTTTTTCAATATGAGTGAGCTGGGAGTTCTATAGATAGTTTTTGGTGATTGGGTCATGGCTTTTTTATTGCTATTCAGAACTTTGGCTGGAAATAGAGCATCCTCATCTAAGATATTTGTCTTGCTTCTTCTGAAAATAAAGGTTAAACTGCCATAATTGAAATCACCAGCCACCCTTTATTTTGTATAAAACCTCATGATAAATGAACAAGCAGAAATGTTCCATGATTACATGAAACAGAATCTTGTTACATTATCTTCATTAAAAGTTCAGAAAGTTTTTCCCCTCTCCTAAAAGTTACCATTTTCTTCATGTAAGGTTCTGTTTCTGATGACTGTATGTGATGTTGTATTATTTTCCATGTTGTTTGTGGTGTCTCAGTAATGTAATACTCTAGAACAGACTGTCTGCTATGTCAAAGAATTAAGAAAAATGTAATGGATGTTTTCTTTTTGGCAGTGTACAATTACACTTAGAAAATGGAAAAAAACACTAAAGGTATGAACATCCTCATGCTGTCTTCACTGACGTGTTTCTCTTTGTAGTGTGAAAGAAGTGAAACTAATTGAGCCTGCTGTAGAGATTCCAGAGTTTGATAATAGGAATCAGGAACCAAGACACTAATATTGAAAGTTCTTTCCTCCCACTTGGAATGATGCCCAATGTTATGAGACAGAACTCGACCTTCCCCAAAATCTGAAGAAGGAGCAGCCTATAAAAGGTACCAGGTTGGCAAACACTTGCTATGGGTTACCAGCATCGTTACTAGTAGGTTCTGAAGGAAGCCTGCTACCTGAACGGTGTAAAGGTAAAATGATTTTTTATTTTCATTGTTTTTTTTAGTCTGGATTTAAATAACATATTTAATTATGTTTTATATTGTAGAATAGACTTAAATGATAATGACAAATGAAGGTTGTAACCTACTGTAATGTCTCCATCTTTTCTAAACTGCATTAAATATACTTTTTTAGCCTATCACCAGACTGATTCATCATCACAGTGACCTTATATATTAATTAAGCATGGGGAAGAAGATCATTGAAGACAGCGCAGAGGAGCTCCCTCAGACTGAGGCTAATAAGGTGAGTAAAGATTTGAAGACTTTTGAAGTTGGTCACCCTCTGTGCTAAACTCATCCACTAAGAATGATGGACCCAGCGTAAAGAGGTGTTTTGCTGATGTCCAGTTAGTGGTAAATGCAAGGTAAAGTAGCTTTACTTACGCAGCACAAATTCATATGCAATTTAAAGTGCTTTACACAGGCTATAAAATCAAGCGGTAATAAAAGAATCATGAAAGGGTACATAATAAATAAAGTAAATGTTAGTAAGTGTAATATTAATATATAGTTCATTTGTTATGCTAGTTTATCAGCTAGACTGATTCATCCTATCATGATATTTCATGGCAGGTGACTATTTTTTGGGTCTATGTGTTTTCACACATGTTTATATATACATTTGTTTATACACTTTCACACATTTGTTGAGAAACCTTTGCTGGTTTAATGGTCATTGTCCCCTTCAGGTCAGGGAGAACAAGATCAGTCGATGCCCAATGGCAATACATATGAAGAACTTTCAGAGTGGTTCCAGCCACCAGGACACACTTTATCACAGAGCTGTCAAGGTATGTTCTACATGTTATACAATGTGGAGTCAAAAACCGAAAAACTGAAAAAAGCAATGTAATCTAAAAACTTTTTTAGGCAGCTGGCTTAATAAATCTAATTAAAATAAAAAAAAGACTACTATTTTGTACATTTTCTGAAATTTGCTCAAAATATCTGATAAAATACTCTGTTTACTCTTCCAGAATCAGCTCTGTAAACCCAAAGTGTGTGAAGGCTCAATTATGAATCCAAAAAGTTTGACCCGCAGCCCCCCTGTTGCCCCACTGGCCCCCAACGAGCTTCTTACTCAGGCCATCGACTTCATCAACCAGTACTACAAATCCTTCAAAACGTAGGCCTCCCTTAATTTCACATCTGCTTATGAATTGCATTGTAGTTTGAATTATTATGCAGAGCTCTTTTTGATTTGACTGTTAACATGTAACGCAGGTCTAAAATAGAGGAGCACTTGGCCCGTGTTGATGAGGTGGCCCGAGAGATTGATGCCACAGGAACTTATCAGCTCACCACGGAAGAACTGACCTTCGGGGCCAAACAGGCTTGGAGGAATGCTCCAAGATGCATTGGCAGGATTCAGTGGGCCAATTTACAGGTACCAGATATTTGTTTGCCTTTATGATGCTATTATACCTTCTACAAGGTTATGCATCATTAAATGTGAATAACAGCGTGAAATGTTTTCCTCTACAGCTATTTGATGCACGCAAATGCAAAACTGCCAAGGAAATGTTCCAGTTCCTGTGTTCTCACATGAAGTTTGCCACAAATGGAGGCAATTTAAGGTGAAATGTTTTATCTTGGCTAATGTAATATGATGTCGTTCAATGTCTAAGAGCAATATTTACCTCTGTGTTTATGTCTTTGTTTATTTTACAGATCAGCCATCACTGTGTTTCCACAAAGAACTGATGGAGAGCATGATTTCCGTGTCTGGAACAGTCAGCTCATCAGATATGCTGGCTATCAGATGGAAGATGGCAGTGTGATAGGGGATCCTGCCAATGTGGAATTCACAGAGGTATCCATATTAAGTCACAGTTCAACTGATTTTGACTTTTGTTGTTATAACACAGGGCCATTTCTTCACGTGAAACTGGCCCAGTGTATTACTTTGCTGAAATGCCACATCTCTGCATTCCAACAGCTTTGTGTCCAGCTTGGATGGACACCAAAGTATGGCCTCTTTGATGTGCTGCCACTCATCCTGCAGGCTAATGGAGAGGATCCAGAGCTATTTGAGGTTCCTCCTGAGTTGATTCTAGAGGTTCAGATGGAGCATCCTCAGTAAGTGCACACAGATGCAAGCCTTCTATTTAAATGAAACAGTGTTATTGGTCAGGAGACACTGCAGCTAGTAACAAATTATATGTTGATAAGGTAGATACTGAAGAGTTATCAACATGTACATTATGGTCAGTGACATCTCTTCTCCAGCATCCATGCTAACATGATAATTTTATTAAATTCAGGTATGAGTGGTTCAAAGATCTGAACCTCAGGTGGTATGCCCTGCCTGCTGTGGCCAACATGTTACTGGAGATTGGTGGTCTTGAGTTTACAGCATGCCCCTTCAATGGCTGGTACATGGGCACTGAGATCGGCGTGAGGGACTTCTGTGACCCACAGCGCTACAACATCCTGGAGGTCATTTTAGCACTTCATTTCACTAGTACAATGAGGAGTGGAGCGTGATATTTAGGATATGATGTTAACTCATTTCTACTTTTGTTGCCGTGTGTTCTACAGAAAGTTGGTCGACATATGGGCTTGGAGACACACAAGCTGTCTTCCCTGTGGAAGGATGAGGCTCTGGTTGCCATCAATGTTGCTGTGATTCACAGTTTCCAGGTACAGTGTCTATGTACTGATATTCCTGTGAGCAAAACAAATACAAAGCTCACATTTATTGCTAAGTTGCATGAATGTTTGGATGCAGTTCCTATATTTGGATGTATATTACATGCACAAAAAAGTAAGATATTGAAAATATAATACAAAATTTACTTATATTGTTGAATGCAGTGACAATAGAGGATGGTTTACTTATCAGAAGATATAATTAGTTGTAAAAGTAGTTCTCAGGTTTTAAAAACATCTTTCTCTTGTGGTGCAGAAAAACAAGGTGACCATCACTGACCACCACTCTGCGGCTGAGTCCTTCATTAAGCACATGGAAACTGAAGTGCGTCTGCGTGGGGGCTGTCCCGCTGACTGGGTCTGGCTGGTGCCCCCAATGTCTGGCTCTCTGACCCCAGTGTTCCACCAGGAGATGATCAGCTACATCCTCTCCCCATTCTTCTACTACCAGGTATCACTCTCTCTATACTTTGAGGAAAAGCTTTAGAATTGCAATAAATGTAAAGGATAATTTGAGCTTATTTCACAATATGATGGCCTCATATGACGTCAAAAACAACACTGGTACATGTATTTAGTGAGGGATGCGTCAAATTTATGTCAGTATGTTTTATATGTGTGTTTTCCTTGTGCTAACTTACTTTGTTGTTGTTTTGAAGAGTGATCCCTGGTTAACATACGTCTGGAAGGATAAGGAGAAAGGACTGAAGAAGCGAAAAAGAATCAGCTTCAAAGCACTGACAAAGTAAGACACCATAATGCTGTGTATTCTACAGTGATGCTATTCCTTTTGCTCTTTAAGCATTTTATTTGATGACGCTTTGATTAAAAACATTAGTGATACTGACCACATTGTAATTCTGCCTCTCCAGGGCTGTGGTCTTCTCACAAATACTCATGCTAAAGGCTTTGGGGAACAGAGTGCCTTGCACCATTCTTTATGCCACAGAAACAGGAAAATCACAGACTTTTGCCAAGAAGCTGAAGTCAGTGCTCAGCTGCGCCTTCAACCCCAGGGTAAGAGAATCATCCTATCAGATACATCCTTTCTAGATACTCATTGAGGTTCTTTTGATTTTTTGAGTTATTTAACCAAACCAAAGTTGATTGTGAGACAGTTCAGAGATCTGAGAGATATCACTTAAATGCTAAATAAATATTTATTGACACAGCTACTCTGCATGGAGGACTACAATTTCAGAGAGCTTGAGAAAGAGCATCTCCTGATGGTGGTGACCAGCACCTTTGGCAATGGAGAATCACCAGGGAATGGAGAGGTATGAACCAATTGTCTAAGCACTGGTAGCTTTATTATCCATATTTAGTCCATATTCATATATTAAGTCCAAATTTCCAGTAGATTTCCAGTAGACCACGTCAGGGCAGTAGCTTTACTATAAATACTCACTTCTCCAGGAACCTAAAGCAAAGGCATGGTGCTTGACGTAACTCTTGCAAGAGCCTGTAGATTATCAGGGGTTCCTCCAGCAACCTCATTTAATGAGATTTTTTTTTTCATGGTACCTAAGATGTATTTTTCTGTTCTTTGAGTAACTTACTGGATATTTAAGGCATCTTTAGTTCACAGTGTAAGTGCTAAGACGCTTTGAAAAGTTAAATGCAGGACTAAACATTTGGGGGCTCTAAGTTACATTATTTACATTGTTTTGTATGCAAGAATAAAACAAGAATTAACACTTAATTTTCCTTGATAAAGAAAAAGATATACGAAAATCTGTGGATTCTGCACAAATCTAAGCAGAAATAATCTCACATATATTTAAAAAATACATACTAGTGGTCCTCTGATAACTTGAGGACCCTAAGCGACTGCTTAAACCACTTATAGCAAGAAGCAGCCCTGCAGATATGCCAGATAGACCTATGCTAAGAACATTAGATATAGGCAATATAGATCTGTTTAGCTTCATAATAGTTTTTCTTCCTTCTGCAGACTTTCCAGAAGCAGCTCATGAGCATGAAAACCCTCCAAAATAGCATCAGGTTAGTACTGAGTAGAGCTGACACAAATGGTCAAAACTACAACCAGCAACTATAGAAAACAGCTGTTCTGACTTCATTTCATGATGCAGGTACTGCGTTTTCGGTCTGGGTTCTCGAATGTACCCGCAGTTTTGTGCATTTGCCCATGCTGTGGATGACAAGTTTGCAGAGCTGGGAGCCAAGCGTGTGACCTCCATAGGAGAAGGAGATGAGCTGAATGGGCAGGAAGAGGCTTTCTCTGCCTGGGCTTGCACTGCGTTTAAGGTTAGTGAGGCACTAATATCTTTTAATGACAACCAAACACCGGCACATTTAGTTGTAACTGCATTTGCCTCTTTCTGAAAACTGTCTCCAGGCTGCATGTAAGGAGTTTGGCATTGAGGGTCAGCTATCAGGTGCTGAGCATCTAACAGACAACTGGGACCCTCAGAAGCACAGAGTTCAGCCTGACAGCTCAAACCTAGACAGCATCTCAGGTAACCCCTCGGACATTATCTACAGCAAAATATTGAAAACCTCCTCTCAATGTGCTCTAATGTTTGCCAGTAATTTTATGCACATTCACATGCTATCAGTGACCAATTAAAACAAGGTCAACATTTCATTTCCCTGCATCTACAAAACTCATTTATATAATTACATTCTTTTATTTGTGAATCTTTTATAAGCTGTATAACTCAGAGTGGTATAAACTGTGGGCTGTGTAATGGTGATGTGATAGTATGTGATAAATGTTAACAGTCCTTGTATTTGTAATGTATATGAAGGAAACTTCTAGATATACTGTCTGTTCTCACAGCTCTATCAGCACTGCACTCTAAGACTGTGTTCTCCATGAAACTGAAGAGGAGGAAGAACCTCCAGTGTCCTCAGTCAAGGTTTGTTCTTAGTCCTGACACTATCGTCAGATAAATGTACTTGTACTGCTTTCAAAGGACGTTATTCCAGTTTTAATCTACAAATTTTCACTGATTTATCTTGTTTCTTGCCCTTGTTTTCAGACGCTCTACTATCCTGGTAGAGCTGGAGGTTGATGGAGGAAAGGAAGTTCTGAATTACGCTCCAGGAGACCATGTGGGCGTTTTCCCAGGGAATTCACCTGAGCTGGTTACTGGCATTTTGAAGCACCTCCCCAATGCCCCTCCCACCAATCAGAGCCTCCGCCTTGAGCACCTCCATGACTCGTCTGGTAATAGTCTATCTATGTACTATGCTCTGTCCACAAGTGCATTCTCTCTTGGCACCTATAGACAATGATGCTTACTCAGCAAGCTAGCTAAAACAAAGCTAGTGAACTTTCTTCTTAGTTTATCCATCACATATTTATCCCCCCTCAGAATTTTGCCAACTTTCTCTAAAGCTTGTCCAATCTTGTTACAGTTGATACAAAAGAATGCATTTGTATGGATAAGTTTATTATCACATACTAGATTTACTTGTACACAAGTTAAACATTGTTAAAGTTTCAAAATATACCATTCATATACTGTTTTTGCATCCGTGCTGCAAAAACAGGCTGTTTTGATTTCACTGTTTTTGTGATATCACAAATACCACCGATTCAACCTGATGCAGTTTAGCTGCACCCATTCAGACTGAAGTTATAAGGTGTGTTTCAGCTCAGACTGCTTTTTGAATGAGGCACAATACAGGGCAGCCAATCAGAACAGAGGTTATTTACATATATCAGACTGTTTTCGTTACATACAAATGTTATAAGTGAACCTCGGGTGAACAGATCAAATACAAGAGAAATGTAGGTTATGGGCCCTTTAATAATCAAGCACTGGAGAATACCAGTATATAACCAGGGATCCTTTCTGTTGTTTCCTGCAGGTGGTGCAGGATGGCAGATCAATGATCGTATCCCAGCATGCTCGCTGACCCAGGCTCTTACATACCTCCTGGATATCACCACTCCACCATCCCAAGGCTTCCTGCGCAAACTCTCACAAATAACCAAGAAGGAAGACGACCGACAACGCCTGCTGGCTTTAGCTTCGGTAAGATGAGTCTGCATTTAATGTGAAGAATACAGACTTTATCACTGAAGGAATATTCTAGCGTTTTTCAGTCTAATCACTATCCTCAACATCTGTATTGTACCATTGATCACAGACTTCAACGCATTCCCTTTTACCTTCCTGGAGAAGTAGTCCAAGTAACAAATAATAGAGATGTACAGCTTGAAATACCAAAAAATTTGACTGAAGAATTAATGAACGTGTGATATAAAGATATGTGATACCAAGAAATATTTACTGACAGAATTCAGCAACTGCACAATGGGTTTTATTATATGAGTGAAGAGGCTTCCTGTTCTTTATTAAGTACATAGAAATGTGTTGAAATGATTGTTAGTGGTAATCAACTGTATGCTACACATGCAGCAGATAGAGTTTCAGCTGAAAAACACTGGGCTACTCTATTAAAGATGTTAGCACAGGGCTAAGATGTTGTGGCATCTTTCTGTAGGACTTCAAGAGTTACTCAGAATGGAAAGAATTCCGTAGGCCCAACTTCCTGGATGTTCTGGAGGAGTTCCCTTCCTTGGAGGTCTCTCCAGCCTTCCTCCTCACTCAGCTGCCTCTGCTGAAGCCCCGCCTCTACTCTGTCAGCTCCTCCCCTGACCTCCACCCACATGAGCTCCACCTTACTGTGTCTGTGGTCAACTACCACACCCAGGGTAAAGAAGAATCTACACTGTTGTAGCCTCCATGCACAGCTTAAATAGAAGAGTGATGTGGTCTCAGGCTGACACAACGCACTGGAAAACTACATAATTAACACCCTAAGGTCTTTCTTTTCTCTCCACAGATGGAAAGGGCCCTCTGCATCATGGTGTCTGCAGCACGTGGCTCAACATCCTCAAAGAAGGACAGACGGTTCCCTGTTTTATTCATGGGTACTTACCTGGATGCCTCTATATTTTAAAGGCCGGTTTCTTAGACATGGATTAAACTCAGTCTTGGACTTCATTGTAATCACAGTGATGTTTTGCCATTAAAAGTCCATTTTAATTCAGCCTTAGGTTTAATCTGTGTCTGGGAAGCAAATATGCAATTGAGAAAGTACAATGTTTGGCATCAATAATAAAAAAACAGAGTATATTTTCTTTAATGTATATCTATTATTGTTTATTTCAGGTCCAGTGGGTTCCACCTTCCACCAGACCCCACCACTCCTACTATCCTAATCGGAGCTGGCAGTGGCATTGCCCCCTTCCGCAGCTTCTGGCAGCAGCGCTTCCATGACATGAAAAAGACAGGTACTCACAGCTCTGTACTTAGACAAGCAGTCTGAAATCTGAAATACAGACATGACAGAAACAATTAATGAATTTTCTTGTATGTAATCTATTCACTTAAGGTTCACTTATAACATTTGTATGTACTGAAAACAGTCATAATGAGATTCTGACTTTGCAAATGAGCTTACAAACATGTTAGACTTTAGAATAAAATGTGGTGTGTGAAATTGTTTCATTGCAGGTCTGAAAGAGAGTCCAATGATGCTGGTGTTTGGCTGTCGTGATGCAGACACAGATCATCTGTATAAGGAGGAGACTTATGACATGAGAGAAAATGGCACTCTGAAGAGCATCACTCCAGCGTACTCTCGCCAGTCTGGTCACCCCAAGGTATTTCTCCAACTTCACGCCTCACCAACAACAATTTCTGAACCACCAACAACTCAGTCAAGTTACATATTTTGTTGGTTTTCTAAGTGAAAGTAAGTTAACAAGTCCTCTACAGGTGACAAACTTAAATATAACATTTCATTTTCTGAGTTGAACATGGAAAAAACAAAACATAAAATACAAAATGTGCCATAACTTTTGCACAGGCCACATGTATGTTTTATTTAATTTTCACATATGTTAATCCCAGCGAATAAACAGTAATTGTGCATTAAAATGTGCAGGAGTGTGTTCTCTGTAGAGGATGTGCACTTGTTTTCACTTCAACAGTCATCAATTCGATCAGGGCTGCCCAAACTTTTGCATATGACTGCATACATGAGAGATGAATTGGTTCCACATTTTCTCCTTTACTCAAAATGTAGTTGATCAGCCAAAACTTGTTTAGCATCTGAATTCTGCTTCATTAGTTCTGCAGCAGAGCTATGAAGTCGTAGCTAACACTGATAATAGAATGGAAGCTTATAGCCAGCAATTAGCACTGTGTTAACTGCATGCCCACATTAGCACCCATTTGCATCTAACCATGTTGAGCTGTTAAGTAATCTCAGACTTGCCCATGTGCTTTCTGACACTGTATGACATATTGAATCTATATCAGGGTGGTTGCTACTACTGTTTTGTTTATCTGACATCCTTGTGTCCATTTCTAGATAACATTATGCCATACACAATAGAAAAAGCTCCAGATTATGCAGTTTTTCAGCTTGTCCTTATCGGGGGTCTGTAAGCCCACTATAGAACCCCAACTGAAAAGTGTGTATGCTTATATCACATCATCTTTTCATCAAAATGTGCAGGCATGCCTTAAATAGCACAGTAACACAGCACAAAAGAAAGGATATCAGAGCTTATTCTGAAACCTCAATGAGAACTGTAAACATGTGCTTATTAACCAGAATTTCTCACTGAATTTCTTTGACTGTAATACCTAAAGGGCCCATCTCATGGAAAACTGATTTTTCTTTTAATGAAAGAGTTTGATGTAGTATATAAGCATTGTTAAAGTTCTAAAATATACTGTTCACTCTCCAGTTCATATATGACAACTAAGCTGCAGAAATATCCTGGTTTGAATTCATTATTTTTGTGATGTCACAAGAATCAGTGAATTTAAATACAAATTATAATTTAGCCTACAGCAGTTTAGCCCCATATATTCATGTTGATGTTATAAGACATGTTTCAGCCCAGACTGCTTTCTGAATATGGCACGATACAGGGCAGCCAATCAGAATGGAGCATATTTGTATATATCAGTCTTAAAGGCACAGTAACAAAATGACCTGTTTAATTCCAAGGGACAAAATCAGATTAGAAATAGTTCTTTATGATTATGATGAATGAATTATAATTATTTCAGCCCATAAAACCTCACATGTAATACATGAAATACAAAGAAAATGTTGAACATGGGCCCTTTAATGCAGTTATCACATTCAAACGCGATTGCCATCTGTGGTATCGATTAAAGGACCAATTGTTTAAACCTACCCTTAATAATTTCCCTTTTGGTCCAGGTATATGTTCAAGATGTCCTGAAGAAGCAGCTCAGTGAGGAGGTTTGGCAGGCCCTGCAGAACGCCGGTCATGTGTATGTGTGTGGGGGCATGAACATGGCCCGGGACGTAGCACACACCATACAGGAGATCGTGGTCAGTCAGCTGGGCATAACTTTGGCAGAGGCTGGAGAATATCTGGAACAACTCAAGGTGACCACTCATGGCATTACTGACCTGCTTAATGTTTGTTTGAATGTACAGATGCTGAATGTTCCTCAGGCTAAATTCACAGATGATTTTATTTTTTCCCTTCACAGGCTGAGAAGAGGTACCACGAGGACATCTTTGGAGCATAGATCTGCTATCAGTCAGATTAGAATCAAAGAAGGTTTTAGTTAAAAATCTGAGATTTATTTATTTGTTCTTGTGTATGCCCCCCCCCGTGCCCCCCACCCACTGTACTGTTTCCTCCATCTGCTGCAGTATGTTTTTTGCCCTCCAGATGGCAGCAGAGATGGAAAATGGTAAATGAAGAAGTAGGTAGTGATGTTACCCACAAACGAGGATCTTATATCCTTCTTTTTTCCTTTTTTTCCTCTCTTTCTTTACCTCATCTGTCAGTGACACAGTCTTATGCGTCACAGAACATGACGTGTGCAATGTATGTTAAGCCACAGACTACGTCTGTTGTCCCTTTATCATATTAATTTGTTCATTGAATATAATATATATGTTTGCATTCTTTAAGATGTATAGTTCTTAAGTTATATTTTTTGTTGTCTAATTTAATCTGTAAATGTTTCTTTGCAGTACGCTCTTTGCACTAGAATAACAGGGCCCTTGACTGACTTATTAGGGCCATCAGGCCTTCACTACAGGTTCACATTGTTTCTGACTTTTTCCCATATTAATAATTACAACATTTTGTATCAAATATTCTGTTCTGTGCTTCTTCCAAGTTTAATGTTTGCAAAGAAGAAAATGAGCATTCTTTTGTGTTTCGTCTGATTATCCAGGCTTTAATGAATGCCGCTGTACTGGTACAATAAATAAATAAATAAGTCTATTAATGGCAAAAAGTGACAAATTCAGGCTTTGCTCTTCAAATAAATGTAGCCTAGTATTTGCAACCTAAACCTGTCTTAATAAAATTTGATGATCATTTAATTTTAAATAAAGCATTTTTACTGAACACTTCCTGACTCCTGGACATCATTCAAATACATGCATTACAAAATACTGATACTGCCTGTCCACAATGAACTGTCATACAGCTCACAGACCAGTCATGCTATTTCAGTGTAATACTTTAATAACATAATGACTCATGCAGACACAAAAGTAGGTAGCAAAAACTCTGAGAATCAGGAAATAATAATAAAAAAACAATATAATGATGCAGTTTCAAAGTGAGAAGCGTGAACAAAGGTAAAGCAGCCCTGCTGACAAAAACAGCAGACAGTTTAGCAAGAATAAGTAGCCCAAAATAGCAAAAACAAAACTACACCTCATTTGAAGTGGTAAGAGGAAAGAAAAAAAAGAATACGGCTCTGGGTTCAGGCTTTGTGGTGTGTAGACAGACACCTGGCAGTGGAGGCTGAGTAGAGCCGGCTGGGATCTTCTTATGGTCTGTGCTGTTTTTTTAGCAGAGCAACCATATGCTGTTCCAACATAACATGAACAAATACCTCAAAACTTTAAATGGAACTGAGTGAAGGGGACCAGTTCCTAGCTATCTCAGTTGATAGAGGTGAGTTGTTGAAGGCAGGAGAAGGACCTGGGGGGATTTTGGGGGTAAGATGAGATGGAGCAAAGTGCAGGTGAGGCGATTTTTATTTATTTAGTTAATTAACTATTCATCTTTCCATACATCTCATGTATAGAAAAGCACATGCAGATATGTTTTCCTTATGTTACTGTAAGTAATGTGACCAGACGTCCCCGTTTTCCAGAGACAGTGCCCATTTTTGGTGGCCTGTCCCCGGAAATGTCCCCATTTTTAACTGTGAACTAAAAACATACCGGAAAGTCCTAAGAAAGTCCTGCAGCAGAGCAGACGGACAGATGTCTTGTGTTGTGCTTGTTTTGGCCAACAGAGTAAAGAGAAAAGTGCAGCCTCACCTCTCGCCCCCCACCAACCCACAGAAACCATTAAGTGTTTTTGCTGGTTCCTGATGGTTTTGTAATGGGTTTTGGCTTTTTAATGGGTTAATATCACAATTGAAAAGATCCTAATGGTTTAACAGGTGACCAGTGGCTGATTCTAAATGCATTTGATAGTTTCCTAATAGGGTCTAATGGATTCTACAAGAACCTAGTAGTCTCTATTGGAAACTATTAAGCCAATTCCCATTAGAAAGCAAAACCATTCATCCTTTTTCAGCAGGGAAGGTGAAGACTCAGAAGATGTTTTACTTGTACCAGTTTTCGAAATAAAAACATTTATTGAATCATATAAGCATTTAATCACATACTGGTTGTGTTCTTGGTGCAAATAAAATATTGTTGTATGCATTTTAGAACACTTTTACTTGCTGTTGCTCGAGACTTGCATAAAGGTGGAATGTTAAGGTGCAATGTGTGAGTATGGATGCCAGTTGTTCTCTGAGCATTCTCTCATATTTTTTACTTAATATGACAAGATTAAACCAGATTAAGCTGACAGTCTGTGACAATATGTGGTTCTTTTTAGAGCAGTGCTGGAACTTTAGTTCCTAATTTTATAATTAAATTTGGTTTTTACAGCTTGTGTAACAGCTCTGTTGCAATGAGAGTGCGCAGTGGTTAAAATTCCCCTGTTTATCCCCTTATCTGCTCCTTATGCATGTATGTTAGGTTATACTGCTATCAAATATATATATGTATATATATACACTCCTATCAGGCACTGCTGTGTCTGATCCACTCATACCAGCACAACACACACTAACACACCACCACCACGTCAGTATTACTGCAGTGCTGAGAATGATCCACCACCCAAATAGTACCTGCTCTGTGAGGGTCCATGGGGGTCCTGACCACTGAAGAACAGGGTAAAAGGGGGCTGACAAAGTATGCAGAGAAACAGATGGACTACAGTCTGTAACTGTAGAACTACAGAGTGCACCTATATAGTAAGTGGAGCTGATAAAATGGACAATGAGGGTAGAAACAAGGAGGTGGTCATAATGTTATGTCTGATCAGTGTATGTGTATATATATACACACACACACACACACACACACACACATACACATATATATATATATATATATATACATTTTCTAAGCCACTTATCCTTCTGGGTTGCGGGGTATATATGTTTATAATATTTAAATATAAATTGCATAATTTTCAGTGAATAGGAAACATGTATCATAGAGAGTAAAACACAGGGGGTGCTATGATCTGCTGTGAGAAAGAGCTCTTTACTGAACATACCAGCAGAAAGGTCATCACCACCCACACAATTCACCCTGACAGTGACCCCCTGTGTGCTCTTTGTGCTGGTGCAAAAAAATAATTGTTCCCTTATGTTAAGATCATGTGTTGGTGTCATCACTTCAACTCTACAATCACCATCCAGCTCTTCATAACACAACCCCCCTTTATTCAGTAGATAAAACATTGGATATTTTGATGATATTTTGACCGTCATTTCAGAGATCTGGTCACCTTAAAGTAATGTAAGTCCAGCGTCGCGTTAGTTTGGCCTTTTTTCATAAACTACGTTTATAGTTCGACAGGGGGCGCTGCAGTGAGTGATTGGCTGTGAGCCGCCAGCAATGTTATGAAGAAGAAGAGTCGCCGGGGTGGTGCGTTATATTTCACCACCCTTCAAATCCTGCACCCCTCGCGACCTCATTGGACGAATCAAGTCAGAAACTCCACTTCAGACGCGCCTGAAACAAACGAAAAAGACTGAGCCCAAAATATATGCAATATATATTATTATTAATTATTATTATTATTCTTATTATTATTATATTTTTAAGTGAAATGAAAAAAATGCTGTCAGCAAAAGAAATAATAAACAATTGGGCTACTAAAACCAGCTATATATATTATGAAATGAAAAAATAAATGCTGTCAGTAAAAGAAATAACAAACGCTAAACAAACCAACAACAAGACAATAATGTGGGACCACAGTTTCAGCCGTGTGGTCCTCTTGCACTGCACGTTTTTCCCTTTATCAGCTATTAATAGATTTTTTTCAGTAGAACCGATCGAACACAGCCGTGGAAAAGAGCAACTTCAAAAATGAAAACGTTTACGAAGATCATTTTAAACGTTTGAATCACATTTAGCTAACGTTACATCGTTCATCCAATTGTACATCACGTAATTAAGTTCAACCAAAGTAGAAATGGCATTTAGAATATTGTTTCTATGTAATACTAAAATAATAAACCGATTAATCCAGCCTGGCTTGTACAGCTGTTATATGAGTTTAAATCGGGCAAACACGACAGTCACCAAAGGGTCTTTGGGGTGCAGGTTGTATATGGGGGACACAGTACGGCAGCACAGCGGACTGTGGTTCCACGGGGCGGAGAGGGCCACGCTGGTGGAGGGCTGATGACCTCTCTGTGTCACTGTCTGACTGTTTTCATTCCATGTGCGCGTTTAAAGAATAAACCGAGACGCTGCAGATCCTGTCAGCGTTCATAACCACGCGATGGCCGGCAGCAGACTGGAGAAGTTCGGCACTGTCTTCACTCGGTGTGTATCTGAACTGCACTGGGCCGGTTTAGCTGCTTGGCTATGTTAACTAAGCTAACCTTAGAGCTGCAGCAGCATCTGTCAGCAAACACAGTGAAGACTGTTACAGACTGTTCTGGTCCTCTGTTTGAGGGATTCTGACATCTAGCTAGACTAGATCATTCTGCTCATTCTGCACTGAAGGAGAGTGAAAAGTCCTTGGTTCACTTACATTTTAGTTGTTGTTCCTTCTAGTCTCTTCTTAGATCTGTCATCACTATGTTGAACACATCATGCAGAGTGATAGAAATGAAAGAGAAAGTTATCTTGTTTCTTAATATTGTCTCTAAATATTACATTCACAAATGTAGAATATTAATGGATTTTCCTCAAATATTAACTTAATTCTAATTAGAGGTGGGTGATGTGGCAAAAATGTCATATCAAGATACTTCAAGAGGTTTTTAACTATACTCTATATCTCATGATATTAAGTTTGTTTAGTTTAGTTTGTATTCAACATTTTACACAGTATGCTGCACTAAATTCAATTAAACAGGACTAATTATTAGGGCTGGACAATATGACAACACATAGAGAGCAGAATTAGTCCCTTTTAACTGGATTTAGTGCAATACTGCATGCCGAATACTGAATAAAATCATTGTGTTCACAAGTATTTTTGAGCATTAAAAAAATATCCTTTATTCTGTGCAAGACCTTTATTTTATAGTTTTATACTAAAGTATAACATCATACAATATTTATTGTGTTATAATCATGATGATGATTATTGTTAGGTGTTTAGACAGTTATTATTAGGCAGTTCTTTTACCTTTTACTTGTAGCTTTTTTTCTTGTTCAATTTGTTGAACAAACAAGATTGTGAAATGTACAATTAAATGTAAATAGTAAATAGTCGATTTCTTAAAAATGTACTCGAGTAGAAGTATTTTTATTTGTAAAGGAAAGTCTCACATTAAACTTGGCATCCGCTTCATTCCTTCGATGCCGTAGCAAAATCAAGTGATCGGCTTACTGCATCAGTGTTTTAAAACTTTGTTTTTATTTTAAAGTATATCTTAAATACTGTAGATATTTGCTTCACCCCTTTCCTTTTCCGGTCTCTCGTGAAGAGTTCGTGATTTGATGCGCTCTGGAGTCATCAAAGAGTCCGATAAGCCTCTTTGGTTTGACGTGTACGCTGCTTTCCCTCCTAAGAGAGACCCTCTGTATGTGAGACCATCTAAAAGTCTACGGCCACAAAAGAAAGAAGACCCAGTGCCTGAAATATTTTACAAGGAAGATGAAATACGAGCGTAAGTCACCACAGATTCATCTGGCTGGTTTACATGAGCCAAGCTGAGATGTCATAACCTTCAACTTTAAAAGAGCAATTATCTGATGAACGTCTGCTATTGTTTGGATATTAGGAAGTTCTTTGAGATGTACGGAAGTGGACCTAAAGCGTTTGATCTCACTAAAACCAACTTTGTGTCAACATGCCAGAGGTACGATGAGTTTAATACAGCAACCACTGCATGTAACACACACTACTCATTTTAAATAGTGAGTATTTTGGTTATTAGACCCTTATCACTCCTAACAATCCCACTGACCCCAACATCCCCTTAGAAGCTCCTATCATCTGCACACTGCATGTGTGTAGTTTTCCATCCTTAGTAGTCAATAAGCAATTCCATAAACGAATAATTTGAGCAGTTGTGATTGTGTGCTTTTTTCCGAAAAATGATAAAAAAAAAATGTTGACATCACCAAATAACAGTGAGATGTACTGTCACTTATGCTAATGATCATTTTGGAACATTTGAAATCGGTTAAGTGTGATATCACTTTATTTCAGACCTAAAGTGAAGTTCTCTTTCAGTCAGCAGTTTTTTCACGTGCAATATAAACTTTATTTATGTTTATATTCTTAATTTTTTGAAGAGTAGTTCTCTAGTAGTATAAATTAGTCTAGTATGATAAATTAATCTAGTATTATATATGTTGTTTATATGGTAATAAGTAACAAACTGTACCCTTGTAAACAAATTAATAAGGTTAGTACTTTGTTAATTCTTTTCTTGAGTGCCTTGCTCTCCCTTTGCTGCTGTAGCACTGTGAATTTCCCCAGTGTGGGACTAATAAAGGACTGTCTTGTCTTATAACTGAAATCTGTTTGTGCAGGTTTGTGGAGAAGTACAGTGAATTAGAAAGCAGAGGAGACGTGAAGCCGGAGATGTTGTTTGAAGAAACGGGGAAAGCTCTTCTTGCCGAGGGTATTGTGCTCAGAAGGAGAGGCGGTCCTGCTGTAAGTTTGGTGTATATTATATAACAGCACATCATACACTGCAGTTCATACACTCAGAAAAGACTGCGTAGAACTCCGTTTCAGGGTACAAACATTGTCAGTGGAGAGGTTCTCTCAAGACTACATCTTCAATGTCTTTAGTCAGGGAAGATAATTGGATTATATTCCATTGTGATTATTTTTTTTAAGTGACTCCTTTCACCTTGTCTCTCTCTCTCTCTCTCTCTCTCTCTCTCTCTCTCTCTCTATATATATATATATATATATATATATATATATATATATATATATGTATATATATATATATATATATATATACACACACACACACACACACACACACACACACACACACACACACACACACACATACCCTTTTTCGCACAATTTAAGAGTTTTGACTGTGACATAATTATTGTTGGTTCAGTTCTGTACTCCCGCACATTTAATTTGAAATCCTGTAAGTGTACGTGTTAAAGATTACCATAAAGAGAAGAATGCACCACCATGCTCAGTTACAGTTTAATAAAAGGTATTACAGCTCTAATGTTCTGGAACCAAGTCTTATGAAAGACAACATGAAGATCGTTGCACAGATCCAGGGCGAAAAAAAGTGGAAAACTCTTGCCAAGCCCATAATATCAACTACTCTGAGCATGCACTTCACTTACTTATGACAAGACTGAAGGCAAAAATCCCATGCATATAAACAAATAATGTACAGACAAACCATAAATGTTTGGAGTCTATATTTGTAACCGTTTAAGTGTTAAATCAGCAACTCTGTCCTGAAGTGGTACAGCCTCACTTTGCTGATTGAAACTGGTCAGTTATTGAGTCTGAGAGAGTGTGTAAAGATTAATCGGTTCAAACTTGGCACAGCAGTGTGAATCTGGTGCTGGTTGACACAGCAGGCATTGTTGTACAGAGAGCATCACAGAGTTCAGTAATATGCTTAGAGGTACTAGATATATCTGAGCAGGTGGACTTTAAGAAATGCTGAGAGGAACTTGGTTACCTACCATTAGTTTGCAGTATACTGTCATGATTAAGGTAAAAAGGTTTCTACAGTATCCATCATATAGCAAATAAATAAAAGTAGGAAATGAAGAAGGTGAAAATGCCCAGATTTTAGAGAAAGCTGTTAGCTAAATTAATATGAAATCTGTAGTTAACTAGCTCTTCTCAGCTAATGTAGCTGCTAGCTAGTAAAAAGTTAATTAGTAGAAAAAAAAGAGACATTTCGGCCTTTTTCTTGGCAGTCATTTTCTGCCAAATCTAGGTGACAGGTTTTGTTAGAATTCATAGTGAATGTTCACATTTGTTTAAAAAGAAAATCCCACATTAATATAAACTAAATGGACTTTTTTAGATATAAGCTTTGTTGTAGATTCAAGATTGCTTTATTGCCACACAATATATAATGTTGGTGGTATTTGGATTTCAAACTACTTTGATCCATTCCTTAGCAGAACTCAAATACTAAAGTATTTTGTCTGACAGTTAATTGTGAGATTTTAGCCTTTTCAGAGTTAGCGACATCTGTAGATAGCACGGTAGTTTGAGTTTTTGTCACACATTGTCATTGATGCAAAGCACCCATCTGAGTGCTAATAGTGCTCTTCTAAACAGGCTCCAGCCTGCCAAATGTGAGTTACAAGCTAGGGGATCAGTTGTTATGTATACGATATAAAGTGAACACTACAAGCTGTTGTAAACTGCACTAAAATCAACTGTAATCAAAATGGGTAGAAAACGATTTTTGTATTTAGCCTACAATAATGCTGAATTTGCATTGTAGCAGATGAAGAAAATATATATATATATATATATATATATATATATATATATATATATATATAAAGAGCACAGCCTGAAAAACAAAGCCTTTTGCATAAGACAGTGATTAAAATAACAGAGAGTAATAGATTGATATGACACTATTTTAAATAAACACTTATTTTAGAATAAAGAAAACCTGTATATTACGCTTGTCTGGCCAGTGTGATTTAACTGCACTACGTGAAAGTTCTTGACAGTTTCATCTGTATGTATGCATCTGTATGCGATAACAGACGTTAGCGTTCATGTGTGCATATAAATAAAACATAAGCAGTGGCATAAAATTTTAAAAAAGTAAATTTTTGCATTCGTTTAATAGACTGAAGACCTTGATTTACCATTCAAATGTGCTCCCTGACTTGCTGCCCACTGACAGTAGTCATATTGTAATGCTGTCTGTCATCGCTAGGTAGCAGAGTTTTACACAGTCAAATTCAATGACTGCTTTAGGTTGCCCTGTCCTTTTGAGAATGGAATGCTGGGATGGTCACTAGCTGGTAACACAAATGTCCTAAGAATCCAGTCCAGGTCCATCTGGTGCTTCACATCTAAAATTGTTCAGGAAATTGCTGTTTTGTGCTGTGCTTCAGGCATGTCATTGTAATTTCTGTTTGCTCCACTAGAGTGTGCTGTTTCACTATATATACACAGCTGCAATGCTCAGTTGCAGTTTTTTTGGTTTCAGTTTAGTGGCAATTTTAACAGCAGCAACATTTTCCTTTCATCCTGTCTGGCTTCTGATCACCAGGTGGCAGCAGAACAAACGAATCCTCTGCTGGGCATGGAGCTGGCTGAGATGTTGGCTGAGCAACAGAAACACACAGCTATTAAGACACAAGCTCCAGAAGAACAGGCACAGACAGTTACCACTGACAGCTCCACTGCATCACAGTGACAAAGACTCTGTTCATCCATTCCTCAGAAGTATGACAGCCCGAGATAAAAGAATGGCTTAAGAGCTGCTGGGACAGCGTCTGGAATTTGGGGCTCACTGATGAACTTATTAATCCTGTCTTGAAAGTGTGGAAAATAAAACGGAAGTTGACATCAGTCGTTTCAGCATGTTCTGTGTTCCATCGTAAACATGTTGTGTAGTTAATGAGTGTCCTAATAATATTGTTTTGAATACTGATATTTGAATGAAAAATCCTTGACTTTATGTTCAGTCTCTTTGCTGTATATACACAAAATAAAGAATTTGGAGATTACCGTGTGTCCAGTGTAGTAAATGTTGGTGTTCCTTAAAGGGAATTTCCACTGATTGTTCAAAATAACCTGTAAAAAAATGATTACTTTTATATTAAATTTGAGGAACATTTATGAATTTAAGTACTGCACAAAATATGGATTTGCAATTTTTAAATGTTTTTCATCAAAGACAAACCACACAAGCTCTTGTAATGGATGAATAACTCCATCAGCTCATGCACTGGCTGACTGTTAAGCAGAAGAATAAGTATGTTTATGCACTGACGTTCCTAAAACGAACGACAATAAATACTCAGATAATCACCAGTTTGTCAGTGTTTACGTCATTTTAGAGGGAGAGAAAAATCAAGCTGTTTCTTTTTTCATTTAAGAAATTTCCTTTATTTTCATCCCATGAAAAAAGGAAAGACAGTAACTGAAACCCTGAGGGCTCAACCTAAATAGCATGTTGAACTGAAGGCACAGAAAAAAAATTCCACATAAACAAAATATATAGTTCAATTTTTATGTTTTTAGTTTGCTTACTTTTGACAATAATTATGCAACAATAATCATTGTGTGAATTATGCACACAAATTAATCACTGTAAATGTAATTGCTTTATTTCAGTTCAGGAGATTTTGTTCTTTCCTGTGAATTAATGCTGTAGCTAATGCTCTAAAACTGACAATGTTACAAACAAAAATGCATTTGCTACTTGAAAAAAAGCCCAAATACACTATATTAAGAGATGCACTACACAGACATCCACAGGATAAAGCTTTACACTTCCAGATATAGAGCTTTAAATTGACTTTATGTAAATGTGCATATTGGCACCACACCAATAAAATATATTACATCAACAGAAACATAATAACTGTTGATATATTTTGTTCATGAAAATTGATAAACACATAAAAAGCAAAGAAATTTGACACTTTTTTCTGTGTAGCTTTAAGTTTTGCTTTATAACAGTTAATGAATCTGCTGTCGGACAACCTCGTATCCCCATTCTTGTAGTTTTTCTGTTTTTGACATAATTTGAAAATGACTGTTGGCCTTTACATTGTGTGTAAAAATCGTGATGTCTGGACCGAAAGAAATGGAACAAAATGACTTGGAAAAAAAATCTGGTTCCATTAACTTACATTAAAAATAAGGTATGTTTTTTTCCTTCTTCTGTAAAGTTACCGTTTTGGAGATTTGGTTTTGTTCCGACAGCAGCGATCGATATGAATGGCATTTTTAATGGGATATTTTATCAAATTTGTTCCACAAAATTGAGACGCTTGCAACTGTTGTGGCTAAGTTTCAAATAAGTTGCTGAAAGTGCTAAAAGTATGTAAATTATCCCTGGCTGATAACTTTATAATGAAAACAATACTATCAAAAAATGTGAGCTGCTGGTTTGGGTATCTAGTGGAGTGACAAAGTGTTTCATGCAACCAGGAGAGTAATGTTGCTGTTTATTTGGACTGCCTAATCCGTCATGGCAGACAGTGAAAATGAATGACTGGTTAAGGTTTTGATTGCAGATTATGGCTTTAATCAAAGAGTTGTTATCCATATTTAAAATTAAGTGGTGCAACACAACTCATCTTAAAATAAAACATGGATTAACAAATCCCTGACTAGCCCTAAACTCTGTTTAATTTAATCCTTGTGGTGCAACCCACCCTACGGTCTCTTCATTCAGTGTCTGAGTAAACAATGAAGTCAAATGGATCCAACCTTTCTGACATTGTAAAATTAATGAGATGTGTGGGGGATTCAGTTAATGATGTCCCACTAGCACTGCTACTTAGTAATTAATCCTGTGAGATTTCCCAATAGCTTCTTAATTGTGTTGATCTATTGTGTTGTTGTAATGAACATTGTTGTTAATAATACTTTTGACAAATGAGGCAAGAATAAAATAAAAAAAAGTATGTTTTTAATGGCAGTGGATGTTAAAAGACAAAATAAGCCTAATAAATCTAAAAATGACTATTGAGTGCAACTAGCTGAGCAGAATTGAACTATTCTTATAAATTTAAACAAAAAGCCATTAGGATCAGCAGGAATGAGGGCTTAAGGGAGCTCAGGGCCAGTGCAAACCAAGTGTTTAGATCCCAAAGGCAAAGACCTGAACAGCCAACGACTAATTGAATTATGATCTGGTCATTGTAAAATGTCTGGACCTCTGAGTATCGTTTGTATATCGTCACAACCGGAAGTGTTCTCAGAGCACTTTTTACAACAGGCGTTGTTACAGAGCAGCTTTACAGAAAAATCCGGGTTCAAGCCGCCATGAGCGTTGTCAATGGTGAACGTGGCAAGGAAAAACTCCCTAAGAGCAAGAGGAAGAAACCTTGAGAGGAACCAAGACTCAAAAGGAGAACCCATCCTCCTCTGGTCAACACTTGATAGCAAAACAATAACACAAGCAATATGAACAGAGAATAAGGTTTTACCATTAGTATAAAATATTAAAATACAGCAAAGGGAAAAAGAAGGTGAAGAGGGGTGGGGGGAATCAGGTAAGGTTTGTGCAGCATTTTACAGCAGGAAGCTCCATGGTGGTCAAGCTGGTCCAGAAGGCGGGCGAGCAGTGGGCACCCGATCAAGGCAGATGAAACAACAGCATCAGACCGCACAGGATGGGCTGCTGTTCAGCTCAGCAAAAAATCAGATCAGCTTCTGCCTCAGAAGAGAAAAACTGCACCACTTCAGGCCTGCTGACTGTCATCCAGGGCACTGAAAATTCATCTTTCGCTTTAATGTCTCTCTTTTTCTCTCTCTCTGAAACCAGTCGTGAAAAAACAGTTGTAGCTGAAATCTATTGAAATCCATTATCCATTAGCTTTATGACAAAGATGATGTTACAAAACTGATTGGTTTTTGGTAGTTATGAATGAATAATGCCACCAATTAGTACTAATGTGTGTAGCTTTTTGTACCAGCTGTGCCGCTTAAAAGCATTCTCTTCTTTTTCATCCCGTCTTACTTTTCTCTTTTTCCTTCCTTCTTCCTTTTATATCTTACATTTTTCCTTTATTTCCTTTTATTTTTTTATTTTCTTTTGTGAAATGTGTGTTTTTACATACAAAAAAACATAATTCAGAAGTTACGTGATCATTTTCAAACCTCTCTTTATCCCTTTGAATTTTTTTTCTTACTGTGCCTTCATTTAAATAAGCTCTGTTCCGAGTGGTTGTCTGTATTGTACTTCCTTCAAAAAGCAGTCTGGTCTCAAAAAACTCCATACGACTCCAAAGTAATGGGTGGAGCTCGACTGCTGCAGGCTGAATAGGTAGATGTATGTAAAAACGTTGATCTTTTGTGATGTCACAAAAACAGTTAATTCAGAACAGGCCATTTTTGCAACTGAGTTTCCATCTATGAAATGGAGATTGAATTGTATGTTTTGAAACTAACAATGTTTACATACTACATCAAACTTATTCACTTCAAACAAGCAAGAATAGGAAATTTGTTTTCCATGTAATAGGCCCTTTACAGTGATATACTGTACATTCAAATATTAATTTTCTTTCTTTTTTTCCATCATTATTATCCGGGGATTCAGGGATCAGCGAGGAGGAGAGTCTGACAAATCAGAGCACTGGTTGATTCATTCAGTTTAGAGGCAAAACTGATAAAACTGTAGCTTGATGGCTTTCATGCTTTAGTAGGGCCTGATTTATCTTCATATTCTCCACTGTTTCTTTACACACAGTTAAATCAAGCACTAAAACAGAGACCACTGATGTGCTCTTGCAACTGCCCTGAGGTATATGCTTTTTCTAAAACTCCAGGCTACCAAAGATGACTATCTTTCCATTAAAAGGGAAATTCAGTAATGTATAAATTATGAAATATATACTGCTCTCATCAGCTGGGTCCAGCTTACCAGCTCACAAGCTGATTGGCCCATGGGCCCTGAGACAGGGTTAATCTGTTCATGTGCAGCTTAGTGAATATGTATGCAGAAAAAACATGCATCAACACCAGCTGCGCTGAATGTATTGATACATCTGCACCACACGCACTGAATAGATGTGTTTTGGGACATATTTTCAGTAGAGAGTAGAGTTTATTGGTTAAAATCTTTTTTTGTCCCTAGCATTTTCAGGTTAAAACTTAACTGTTATGGATGAAACAGTTAGTTTTATGTATGTTATTCTGGTGCCAATTTGGAATTTTTGCATATTCAAATTTTTATGGCAAGAAATCTCACAATTTTTGTCCTCCATAGTTTTACTTACATTACTCTTACCAAGAAATGTATTTTCCCACCTCAGTAAGCATTTATTTAATTGTGCCAAAAAACACTGGAGAAGTCTAACCTCAAATACAAAATACAACTTGTGCTAATTTGTATATATGTGTATATTGTGTTAATATGGAAACAGATATAGAGCTGGCATAGATTTGATATTGATTAAACTTTTATTTATTGATGATTGAGACAGAATTGTTAATGATTGTCTATATAGACACATAAAAATGCCTGTTTTCTCAGTAAGAACATAAATAAAAACATACCTTTTTCACTTGCAAATCTTGTTTTCATAAATCATGTTAATGATGAACTTTGAATTAATATATTTAAGCTTGAATAACACTTGTTAGCAGATTTTTGTGCCTTATACGTTCAAATTCTAGTGACACCACAGCCATCAGGATCAGACGTCAGCTCTCAGCCCACCTCAGGCTGGGGGCACTGTGTGATAGGGGAAGTCATGGCTTATGATTGAGAATTAGAATCAGAATCAGAATCATTTTATTTCACAAAGTATGTTACACATACAGGGAATTTGTCTTGGTGAGTGCACACATGTACGACATGTAACATACTGAACAGTCAAGACAAGCACACAGACTATTGATACATATTTAACTAAGGGAAAAATGAAATAAAAATGTAACAAATAGAATAAGGAATAAGAATAAAGAATAATAAAAAGCCAAAGTGAAAGCTAAAGAGCTAATGAGATGTGTGAATATCTGTAGATAAGCAGGTCTGAGGAGACATTTAATATGATAACTATTATATACAGAATATTACAGAATGATATGAACATTTGTAGAGGTTAACATTTATACAGTTGTACAAATAAGCATTATGTTAGCAATGGCTAAACAGTAAACGGTACTGGTGCAGTAAAAAAAAAATCAAAAAATTGAAGTGATCAGTTTATAAGGTGACCACATTCACTGTGGTCACCTCTAAGTTAATTTAACATAAACAGTATTTTGTTAAACTTTTTAAGCTTAAAAAGTCAGTTTAGTTAACAAGACTAAAATGAGGGAAGAAACTGAGTAAAAATACAGTGAAAATTAAGCATTTTTGGCTTTTATAAAATCTAAAAAAAAAATTCTGAGTAAGCTCAACTTAAACTTGGACGCAGTTCTAAGAAAATTAAGTTAGGAGAATTTTAAACTAAAGTAAACTCGAAATTTTAAAAAAAGCTATGCAGAAGGTTTTTACAGTGGATAAACAGTTAAACGTTTAAGATCTAGTTAGAGGCCATAGATTACTGAGACTACAGGGAAAAGATCAGACATATGGGCATGTAATTCATACGGTATAAATGCAAATAAAAGCCTTATTGCAACACTTCAGCTGTCCTCTTTTAGTGTGCCATAATGTCACCTTGGTGATAATACTTCGTGTTCACTCCCAGCATCATGAGTAATAGTCTAAGCTGGCTCAGATGGCCTTGCACATTATAAGCAGACTCATAAAGAACACCATTATAAAAAAAATCCACATGAAGAAGCGGTCCAGTACTTTGGCTACTTTCTTCCACTCTCCTGTGCGTTTCTGAGTGGCCCTCTGGTCTCGATAGCAGTTAGCGATGTATTCAACATTTCTAAAGTGATGCTGTTCTTCAATCACGTGCCGCCTGTTTCCTCCAGCATCACTCCGTCTGCCTCCGTCCCCCAGTCCTCCTGCCCTTTCCCTGTCTATCACTCCTCCGCCTGCCGGGGACGCACCGTCTCCACCATCCATACTCAGGAATACTCCATTCTTCCACACACTGTAGTGATTGGTGGGGTTTTTGCCCATCGAACATGTTGGAGACATAATCTGAGACATGTCCTCTTTTTCCTCTGGGATCTTCGGGGACATGTTGTCCTGACCTCTGTCAAATTTGAAGACAAGGTCGTCTTTCCCTGCTTGTCCGTTCACGTGCTGTGGCTGCCTCTCAGGTGGAGGGTCAGGTTTCTCAGGCTGCGGGTTCATGCAGTTCTCGCCGACTTCATAGACAAAGCAGATCCTGGCCAAATACTGCAGGATGAACTTCTTAGCCCATTTAGGCACAGGCTTTGCCTCTGGGCCACAGTGGTGGAAGTTCATGATAAAGATAGTGAGAGCCGTGGAGGCTGTTATCATGGTCATAGTGGCTATGTAATATTTCCCTGTAGAAGGTGTGAATAAATATATGATTATATGAATACGTGACAAAAACATGCAATCAAGTAAAATTATTTTACAGTACAAAACTACATAATTTGAAAGGACTGTTTAAAAGCACATTAACCCCATTAACCCTTAGAAGTAATAACTGGTGATTTTTTCTCACCACCCAAGTAATCTCACGTAAACACGTTCAGTGATGTTGAGGTCTGGACTTCGGAGTGGTCACTTTTTATGTTCTCAGAACAGCAGCAGCTCCTTTGTTTGATTTGTGAATGTTCTTTTTTGTCTATTTATTTTCTCTGTAATAACTTCTTGACAGCTACTCATCTTTTCAGACTCACAGTGGAAGGATGGACAGAAACACCAGGGGATTTATTCAGATCTGAAGCAAGAGTGCAGCTTGATTTTCTTCTCTCTCTCAAAGATGAAAGCTTTAATTTCTGTTTATCTGATGGAGACAGGTTTGGTGGTCTACCAGGTCTTGCATGTTTGTTGGAAGTCCCATTGTCTCTGAATCTTTTATTCATTTTTTGAGCTCCAGTTTTGGAAATGTTTTTTGCTATTTTGATTGGAAATTACATAAATATAGAGTGGTCTCTGATTTTTGTACAGCACTATATATGAATAATTTCTCACTCATTACTCAAGAGGACACATTTTGTCAAAAGTGCTTCTGATTCTAAATTCAGTCCATACCATAGTAGAAGTAGAAGAGGAGATGATTTATTATTATGATTTGACTTTGATTAATAATTATGCTTATGAATATGGTCTTATTTTGAGGAAAAAGGAAACTATTCTTTGCATTTTCCCCATGTATTTGTCATTATATGACATTAAAATAGTCAGAAAAAAGGCAGAATTGAAACTGTCGATTAAGAATGTAAATGTACTTAATAATGTACATTTAACAAGAGGGCAAAATCCCACTAGACTCTAGCCTTCTAAGAGTTAAACTTCCTGTCCACATTCTAAGGCCTACTATAGTAACTACATGGAAACCAGTACTAAATGATCAAGTCATGGACCAACCAGCAGGTTTGTGAATGTTAAGGGGTTAAAAATCACTTTGAGTGGAATTACAGAAGATGTTGACCTCATAACCACTTCAATCATTTAGTCCTTTAACTTACCTATAAGTGGCACATTCTCAGATGGGGGCATAATCTCTGCCACCAGCAGCTGAAAAACAGTGAGTGCCAACATCACAGTGACACCCAGAGACACTTTCTCTCCGGAGTCAGAAGGCAGGTAGAAGCCCAGAGGGGCGAGGAACGAGATCATCACGCAGGGGATCAGTAGATTAAACACATAAAAGGTGGCTCTTCTCTTTAGCATTAGTGTGTAGGTTACATCTGGGTAGGGGTCAGCACAGCAGCCGTACTGGACCATGTTCCTCTTTGCCGGCATCCCCAGCACCTCCCATTCTACATTATCCACCAAGTCAGCCAGGTCTGCACTATCCATGGCATTGAGAATGTCCAGCTGTTTGCCATTATAGGTCCAGGAGCCGTAGGTCAGACGGCACTGCTGGGCATCAAAGGGGAAAAAGGACACGTCTACCTTGCAGGAGCTTTTTGTGATGATGGGAGAGTCCCACATGATCTGGCCATCGTGACGGATCACTACGTTGGTGTCCATGGTGCCTGTGAAATGGTCATCCGCACTGAAACAAAGAGCAGAGACTGCTGGACAAAGCATGCATTTTGAGCATCTGCAATGGAGGGTAATTAATATTCAAAAACATATTTACTTTCCAGTAGAGAGGAACAGTTCCTCATTCTATAGTGCTGCACTCTTAAAAATAAAGTTCCTAAATGGTTCTTGCATTAGGCACTTGGATTTAAAGGAAAATTGTTTAATTGGTATATAAACCTTTATATTATGTGGAAGTTCTTTAAACTGTGAAAGTGATCTTCATGCTTGCACTTTTCATTTGTTTCTTTAAACAACCATTAACTGAAAAGTCCTTTAGGAAACCATACATGGTTCTCCTATGGCATCACTCCACCTTTATTTTTAGAAGTGTGTGGCACCAGAAAATTATAAAAATTAAATAAAACCATACTCACAGTACCTCCCTCAAGAGAAAGACTGTAAGTGAATTGTTATTAAAGGGGCAAAGGCACAAGAATAGTGTTACGCCATCATTTTGTTTCTGCGTTTTATGTTGTCTAAAAACAAACACAAATTGCTGAAAGGTTCCAAAGAAGCTTCACGCATCATCATACTTAAAGGGCCCATACATTATATTGTTCTTAATATCCTATATTTTCTTCCCCTGAGGTCCACTTGCAACATGTGTGTGATTTCACGTACCAAGAACAGTCTTACGTCCTATTCGATCTGAATTAGATTTCCTGGGGAGGTACAGTAATTTGAGTGATTACTGACTGATAATCTGACCTGTTCATAGTCTTTACAAGTTTGCTAAGTAATACATCCACACAGAATTACCTTCTATACTTTGTATAAAATTTGGCTCTCGTTCGGTAATAGTAGTGCTGTTTGAATTGAGCTCACAATAATATAATAGCAAAATCCAGTAATAGTAATTGGCAGCACTGTTTTTTGGTGACTGGGAGATGAGGCTAACAGCTAAAATGGAGTTTGACTAGGCTCAGTTCCTTCTTCCTCAAGTTCAAAACAGGACTTCTATAATCTACAACATTTTTGCTGATGGCCTAATTAGAATGAAAACATCTCTCACAATGCAGTGCAATTACTGTCCTGTTGGGCTGCCTTTGCTAAGTTGAATGAGCCCACATTACAAGACTAGTATTACTGTATGTAACATTAACTGAGAGTTATTTTTTGTTGTTTGTTTGTTTGGATGTATTTAGTTTTAATTTTTATGCTGATATAAAGGTCCAGGCTGTGATGGTTCAATCTGGGATATCTGAGGTAATGGGGGAAAGTTACACAGATACTTTATCTCATATGAGTCGGCCAGTCAAATCCCTTACAAATTACATTACTGGACCTACTGAAACTAATCCAACTTGAATAGGGCTGTTGAAGCCTTCAAAGTAAATAGATCACCTTTAAGAATGATAGACATATATGATTTCAGTTCTGATTGGCTGTGCTCTATTGTGCTTCATTTTAAAGTTAGGCCAGCCTGAAACACTCCTTATAACTTCAGTGTGAATGGGCAGAGCCAGACTGCTATAGGCTTCACAGAAGGATAAATGTAAATAACATGACACAAAAAATAAATTCAAAACAGGATGTTTTCAAGCATTCTGCCAGAACCTAAACACCTAATCACACAATACAATGGCCCTGATTATAATAATAAAATAACCTATCAAAAGAACCTATACCTATGGTACATTTTGAAACTTTAAGAATGCAAAGTTTTCATGTCTTTTCAGCAGATGCTTTTGACATAAAAAGCAGAAAACAAGATTAGTCTGAACACTTGTTGGTAAACAGTATCTTCAAGTGTTCAGCTTGTGCCTCCACAGGGTGAAAGGTAGTGGGATTACAAAAAAAGATGAACCCAACACCATGCCGACCTACTTGTTATATAGGACAATATCAGGTCTCCATACATAACTACCAGGTATACGGATGGTATCGAGTCCATCATAATCATCTTTATTCCAGGTCAGGTATGCATCATTCCACACCTGCCGTATCCATAAATACGCTGTCAGAATCTGGTTACGCTCATCCTGCAACACAGGTGAACCAACAGAATTCTCAGAAATTCTCCAGAGTGTCAGTACAGCCTCGGTAGTAACTGAAGTCGATTCAGTTTGGATCTATGTGCACAGTAGAAGTGATCTGTGATTAGCATTTCTTACATAAACCGACTGGCCACTTCATGAAGTATACCTCCTTGTTTCTACACATTGTCCATTTTATAAGCTCCATCCAGAACTACAATGGTGCATGTTGAAGTTCTACAATTACAGACTGTAGTCCATCTGTTCTCTACCTACTTTTTTAGCCCCTTTTCGCCCTGTTCTTCAATGGACAGGACCATCATTGGACCACCACAGAGCAGGCATTATTTGGATGGTTGATCATTCTCAGCACCGCAGTAACACTAATGTGGAGCTATTGTCTCTGACTTTACATCTACAAGGTGGATCAACAGGGTAGGTTAGTGTAATAGAGTGGACAGTGAGTGGACACAGTGTTTAAAAACTCCAGCAACACTGCTGTGTCTGATCCACTCTTACCAGCGCAACACACACTGACACACCACCACATCAGTGTCACTGCAGTGCAGAGAATGATCCACCACCCAAATAATACCTGTTTTGTGGTGGTCCTATGGGGGTCCTGACCATTGAACAACAGGGTAGTTAACACAGTATGCAGAGAGTGGCCGGTCATTGTATATATACATATTACATATATATATATTTCTCATTTGTTCTTGATACAGCCAGCCTCAGCAGCACCTGATTTAATTACCCAGTAAGCCTTTCTGTGGCTCAGTATAAAAGCTGATCATTAAATTAGGTGTTGCAGATCACAGGCAGAGTAACAAGTGCTGATGGAACTTCGTTATCAAACCACTTAAGAGGAACATAACATTGCTGTCATTTTGCTGCTTGTGTGTTTGCCAAGTGCTGCTCAGAAACCTTTTGGACTTTTAGCATTAAAAGTATAATGTTTATTTCTCTGCTTATTTACAGAAAGAGAATGGAAATGTGATGCTTTCCTGATAGGCCAAGGGGCCTGACTGATATCATCACTCTCATAGCAAAACTGTGTATCTCCAAAATGGCAACTGCAGGAGAAGGAGAATCTTCTAAAGTCCATATACTGTCGCATTAGTTCCACATTTGTCTATGTCCACTCTCAGTCTCATCTGTGCACAGTCTGTGACCCCTCTCTGTTCTTATTGTTTCCAGCTGTTCCCTTGTTCCCTATCTGCGTATAAATAGCTCTTCTTTGCCCTGTATTCAATAACATTTGAGCCGGCAAAGGAGGCTGTCTGCATGTGTGATCAAAGAACAGAAATAAATTAAGCGAAATGAAAGGTGGAAAAACACAAGGCAATGCCAAGCAGCCAGTAAGTACATGTGACTTTTGTTTCCATCTGATCTCATTGTTGACCAGGAGAATCTACAGAAATAACAGAGATCACTTTTAGAATTTTATTTCTCTTCATGTGGGACCTGCTTTCAGTTTTTCAAAGAAATCTGTGTTGTATTTTTCGACATATTCAAAATTCAGTCTTAGAAGTTGGTTTTTTGCTTCTCATGATCCAGGTAATCCCTAACACATTCAGTGATATTGAGGTCTGGACTCTGGGGTGGTCAATCCATTGTTCTGAGAACACCAGCAGATTCTTTGTTTGTTCTTTTATGTCTATTTCTTTTCACAGTAAGGGCTTCTTTGACAACTACATATCATAGTGTTGAGTTGTCTCACAGTGGAAAGATGGACAGAAACACGTGGATTTTTTCAGATTTGAAGTAAGAATGGAACTTGATTTTCTCCTCTCACTCAAAGATGAAAGCTTTAAGTGCTGTTTATCTGATGACCATTTTAGTGGTCTGCCAGGTCTCACACAATTGTAAGAAGTCCCATTCATTTCATGGAAATTCTTGCTTTTTTATGGTTTTACTTACTTTCCTTTGATTTTCCCCTTCCTTATTCAAGCAGGTATCATACATCTACAGGAATATATCCTTGAAAATGAATAACCAAAAATTGGAGTTATTAGGTTTGAATATGACAGTGACGACAAGAAACAGCATTACCATGTCGATTATTTGGGAAAGCGTAATCTGTAGTGTGACGTTTAAGATGTCATTGGTGTTCTCCACTGGCCTCAGTGCGCTGGTGTAGTTTCCAAACAAGTCGTTCAGCAGCCTCTGCGCGTACTTCCCATGAGCTCCCCTGCTGGCTGGAACAGACACAGAGACAGAAAGAGAAATAGATGAGGGGAAAAAGAGACAGACTATGCATATGTGTCCATCATGGCATTTGAATATGATGACTCTGACAGTGTCATAATAGTCTATAAGAGACCTGCAGCAAACCTTGATCTGTAGTAAAAGCCAGCAGAACCACAAGTTACTATTCAGTTTAAAGTCTCATTAAAAATGTTGCACCTGTAGTCTTAGTTATGGAATTTGCTACACAATGTACTGACTTTACTATAGAAGGTCAGCTAATAAACACATTTAAAAGGTTTAGGTTTTATGCTTTGAGTATATTGAAATCAGTTATTGCTGAACCGTAAATACACTGAGTTGTCAGTTTAAACCTCTTGTTGTTCCCAAATGTTTTATACATTGAATACGTATAAAAGTAACTTTTGTTGTCTAGTTTACAGCATTTTTAAACCCGCATAGTATAAATGAATATTGTATATAAAATAACAAACTAATCAACACGAAAAGTGATTCCACTTTTGAACAGTAGTATACTTTGTATCTACACTCAGTGGACATTTTATCAGAACCTCTTTCCATATAAGAACACTTTGAGTGTTTAAAATGACTGTCTATGGCCCCTAAACAGTTTTTCAGACTTCTACCTTCCTATCAGTGGAAAGAGACCACGGTAGGACCACTGCTGACCAGATATTGTTAGGGTGGTGGACCACTCTCAGAACAGCAGTGACACCGACATGGTAGTGTGTGTTATGCTGGCGTAAGTGTATCAGGTACAGCAGCATTGCTGGGTTTTAACACACCACAGTCACCTCTGAGTTGAGAGTAGTCTACCAACCAAAAATATCCAACGAACAGCAGTCCTGTGGTCAGAAACTGGTCAGAAATACAACAGTGAACAGCACAGACTGGAGATTTGCATCCCAGTGCTAAGTGATTGACTTGAAACCAGTCTTGTCTACCATTCAGAGCTTCCTTTGTGAAAATGTGCACATGCGTCATGGCTTAGTCCATAAAGACAGAGAAGGGAGATTTCCTGCTAGATTACCCATCTGAGGCAAAAGAAAAGAAGAGATTGGGTAAATCTGCCATTAAGAGGATGGGCAGATGTCACGCATCCACCCCCCCCACCCCACCCATAATACTGAAATTAAGCTGGCCTGTATCACTGACCACCTAATCCATGGAACAGTTGTTGTTGTCCACCACAACAAAGAAAACAGAGAAAATGAAACATTTGATAAATGTAATGTTCTGCTTCAATAATAAATGTACTAAAAGTAAAATCAAAGACACAAAGTACGGTAAAGTGACTGTTTCTCAAATCACATTAACTTTAAGCCAATAGCTTATTGGGCAAAGTGGGAAAATGAACTCTCTTTAAATAGTTTGCACAGGGTCTAAAGGAAGGTCTTTGCTGTGATCTTTAAGGATCTAAGCTAATCAGATGTTGGTATTGCTAAGCTGTTTCAGTTATGCATTGCAAGGGACACAAAGAAGAGTCACAAGATGAATGCTTTGAGCTCCCTAAACAACCTAATAACCCGAGCTCAGAGTTGTCAAATACTAAACATAAATATGAATAAAAATCCACATTTTTAACAAGAAATGAACAGTTCAGTTTCACAGGACACACATTTTCATTTCTACTCATTAAGAAGCCACATTTATTTAAATTGTCTATTTCTATGCATTGTCTATTTCTATGAATTACAGATGCTGTTTTATGCCTGAAACTGTGTCTTGAAACTTTTGTTTATTTGTAAATAAATAAATAAACATACAAAATATTAAGACATAATTTCAGGCATAAAACAGCATCTGTAATGCATCTCTGTTATAATTCTTTCTAATGCATTTTGTCTATACCTTTTCTGGCACCACATATAAACAATGTATAATAATATAAAACACAATATATGTAAAACCTTCTTATAGCCTCTTAAAGTATCTTCTTTCTTATAACTTGAGCGTCTATAAATATATACAGGCAAAAAAAAAAATTATTAGTCATTCAACATTAGTCCAAACTCAAACAATCAAATATGAATCTATAGAAACATTACCTGGTACAAACATCATGCAGACAATGAAGATGGAAAAACAGTGTGTTGTGTCAGCTCTCATCCTGCAGAAATAAAACCAGTTGTAGAACAGTGGTTGCTGCAGTATGTTCAGGTACAGCATGATATGCCAGACTTTAGAGCTTTCATCTAGAGCTTTATCACAACAGCCTGCAGAAGGCAGAAACTGGTTGGGTGCTGCATTTAATCCCTGAATTGATGGGTGTTGCCTGTTTGCTATTAAATTATGACAGTCATAGCCTATAGCAAAAATGGTTCTATGTAGTACCAAACCAAACAAGAAGAACTATTTAAACACATGAAAACCATTCATGCATTCTAAGGATTATTTGATTGATTTGAGTTGAGTCATAATTCTTCATGTAAACATAGCCTTTACTAAAGAGCCCTGGAAGAACTAGAAGAATATATTTCACAATTTTTGGCATGGACAAGTTGTTCATTTTCAGGTTATGTTTCTGAAGAGATTAGATATAAGATAATCCACGTATAAAAGGAAGGGAAAGTCCAAGGCAAAATAAGTTTCAAAAATATGAGTTCCCAAAACTGGAGTTTAGAAAATTAACAAAAGATTCAGAGAACAACTCAGGACTCCCAACAACCATTTAAGACCTGGTAGACCACCCAAATTGTCACAGTCATACAAACAGTACTTAAAGCTTTCATCTTTGAGAGAGAGGAGAAAGTCAAGCTCCACTCTTGATTCACATCTGAAAAAATCCACAGCCGTTTCTGTCCATCTTTCCACTGTGAGAAGAAACTCAGCACTGTGAGTCTGAAACAATGTGTGGCTGTCAAGGAGTTTTTACTGAGAAAAGAAAAATGAAACAAAAATGTAAAGACATGCATCTCCAAAAAAGAAAGACATGCATCTCCAAAATGCTAACCATGCAGGAGAGGACAGCAATGGTCTTAACTAGTAATGTAAGTTAATGTAAAGAGGTTCTAAAAGGTGTCACATTATTCCAAGTGATTGTGGAGCTTTTTTATTGATCTATCCATCATGAAATTTTCACACAATGTAAAAGAGCAGCTGCCATGTTCAGGTAATGTTGAAAAAATATGGAGATACGTTCTTTTGTACAAATAAAAAAAAGCTGCTGGTTTTCTCAAAACAATGGACTGACTGCCCCAGAGTCCAGACCTCAACATTATTGAATTGGATTGTGAGGAGCTAAAAAGGCACCCAAATTCTAAGACTGAACTTTGGAGGTGTGGAAACATATCCCTTCAGATTTCCCTGAAAAGCTGAAAACTAGTCCCATATGAAGAGAAAAATAAAAAAGAAAGATCTCCTTAATCTCTGTAGTTTCTCTAAGTCGACAATGAGATCAGATGGAAAAACAAAGGAATAATTTGTACTTAGTGGCTGCTCGATATTACCTTGTGTTCTTTCCACATTTCATTTAGTTTAATCTAGTTCTGTTTGATCACACATGCAGACAGCATCTTTGCCTGCTCAGATGTCACAGAATGCAAAATAATGGACCAACCAACTCAAGTCTACGCCTTAACCTCATTGAATATATTTGGGATTACTTGGCTTGAGAGAAGCAGAAAAAACAACCAAGACTAAGTTTTGTCTAGTCTAAGACTAAATTTTGGAGGTGTGGATAAATATTATAGCAGATTTCTTTGGAAAACTGAAGGCAAGTCTTTCAAGAAGAATGGAAGCTGTAAAGTAAATGAAAAAGGTGGAGACACTAAACACTGGAAGAAAAAGGTATTATATTTAGTTGTGGCTTCTGAATAATTTGACTTAATCATGACTTTATTATATTCCTGCAATACACTTTTGAATTATGTGCTCAAATGTTCAGCACCATGGATAGTGCCTGTAGCTCAAGGATTCCTGATTCAATTACCATGGAAACAGGGGGATTTAGATTCCTAGTTGTATACTGGCCTGGGGCTTTTAGTCTTGCATTGTTTCAAATGCATAGTCTCCTTTATTTATGATAATAACTGTATGTAAATGTAAAGCGCATTCAGTGAGAATACAGACTGAAGACAGGTTGCTGAAGAGTTCTTGGCTTGGACATACAGTTCTAATAAAAAAGTTTAATTGGTCTAGACCTCTTACTTTTAATGGAGGCTCTTTAAATGTAAAAATATATTTCATTTACAAGATCCTTTGGTATCCATTGAAAGGGTCTTTAGGGAAGCAGAAGTTCTTCTATGGCAGTGCTTCAAGAAACCCTGGTGCCTTTATTTTTAAGTGTATGTATTTATTGCTGGATGAGCTTTTCTTTATGGATTTGTGTCACCCAAGAGTTCATCTGAAGCACTTTTGAGCTGTGGCCACTGTGGGGCAATATATACACATTTTTTGCTCTTCATTTGTCAGTTTGACATTTTTTTAAAGCGTTGGTGGAAATGATATTCAGCGTTAATGATTATCGATGTTAAAAATGTTCATCCAGTTTTTGGAAGATGCTTACTGCTGAAATGACCGACAGGTCATCTTTGGAAAGCAGAAGTAATATCAAAAGGAAAACTGGAAGACAGTCTGGCAGATCAGCAGCACATTTTGGCCTAGATTGTGAAATCTGGCCCAGACTGAACCTTCTTTTAGTTTCTTTTCTTGTGAGCGTGAACTTCAAGACTGAAAGCACCAAAGAGGACATATAAATAGAACAGCTATGTATCGTCCAGGTGAATGCTTATCAGTTATTTCCGGTGCGTGTCTGCCCAGAGGCCGTACCTACTTTTACTGCCAAATGTGCTTGTGACTAGAATTAGAAAGGACGGTGAGGCAGTGGCTGAGAATTGAACTATAGCTTTACCAGCTCTGACAGGCAAGGCCCCTTCATTTCACTCTCAAATTAGGCTGAGGCAAATCAGACACACTGACTGAGCCATTACGCAGTGTGGACAGTTCCGGGTGGCTGTAGATTTCATGCAACTTTACACTGAAGATAATAAAAGAGATTTGCTTGTTTTAAGAAATTATGCTTGAAATGAGCAAGATTAGTCCCATAGGAGTAAAACAAAAGGTCTGGAAATTTTAATAATATTAGAATATTATTACAACACTCTGAAGGTACAATGTTTTCACTTGTCTATATCCTTTTTTGGGATGCATTACATACTTTACAGTGAAAATGTCTTAAACCAGCAAAGAAAAATGTTTAAACGTATTGACCTGGCAGTAAATTCAATTTTGCTTAAAAAAAAAAAACTTCAGAAAAATGAGATTTCCTGTGCGATGGTTACGAGAACTGAAGTGTTACAATTTTTTTTGTTTGTTTTATTGTAAAGGTATTATTATTATTATTATTATTATTGTTAAAGTTTCATGTTATTATTAAAGTATGTTATTGTTTAACCAAGAAAACACTGTACCTTTTTTCTAAATGTTTTTCAGGTCATTTTGTCATATAAAATCTAGTATTAATCCAGCTATGATTAATGTATGCAGTGTAATTAATATAATGTAATGATTGTAAGGATTAATCCTTCTGTCATAACCTTCAGAATATGTGTAGGAATGAGCTCTTTTGCTCCACCCATTGGATAGTACATTGTGTCCATTTTTACTTGTTTCTATAATAATGATAATAATAATAATAATGATAATAATAATAATAATAATAATAATAATAATAATAATAATAAGTTCAACTTATATAGTGCCTTACACAAACCCAAGGACGCTTTACATAGTGTCAAAAAAATCTAGAAGACTAAAGAGAGGAAAAAAGGAAGGTTTATAGCAGAGATTTGAAGGAAGACAAAGAAGAGCAATTACGAAGAGTGGAAGGTAAGGTATATCCTAATGTGAGCATTTTTCCTAGAAAAATCTGCCCTGATAAATAGCTTTAACTGTGCTTTAACTGCCTGGTACTGTTGTTTTTTTCATTTGTGCAGTTTCATTGGTAGACAAGTGAGTGTCTTTAAAAATGTAATTAATAATTAAACCTACTTCAGGCTATTAAGTATCTGTGAGTAAACACTAACCACTTAATAAAAGACAGTTTAATTTCATACCTGTTCAAGTACATTTGAAAGGAAAGTTGATTGGTTTCTGGGCCTCTGTTTTAGAGGCTTGCAAAGCACACTTTATGCTGGAATGACTCAAAAGCAGGGAAAGTCTTTTTCACTAGGCAAAGGTGGGCAGCTGCCAAGGGCCCCAATGAGTCAAGGGCCCCGTAGTAGATAACTAGATATACTATACATGTTGATGTGAAACAATGTGTTCTGAAATAAATATACATTTAGCTTTTATTTCCAATTGTATTGTATTGTACTGTATTCTTTTCAGTAATTTTAATGTAGCCCCACCCCCAGATCTTGGTTATAATAGACTATTCCATGTTGTTACGTGATGACACAAGTGCGCAAAGACAGACTGGTATGAACAAGACAATTAAGCAATAATCTACATGATGGAGAGGATGTCCTTGTGATTTTTTTGGGTATTAAGAAGGAAAATCAAATAAAGTTATACAAGCACAGCAAAAAAACCAGAAAAACACTCCCTACATCCCCAAATCTAACTTTGTTTTTTCAGTCAGAATAGAGTGCTGCACACGTTCAGCAGACCATACATAATGTTAGCATAGATAGCTCCATTGTCAGGGTAAGTACTCAAAAAAAAAGTAATCCATCACAAGTTGCTAATTGCTTCTCTCATAAAGTAGTGGGTTGCCATTACTTATTACTTCCTGGAAAACATAATCTCGTTACTCATTACTTTGCTTCTGCAATAGTTTGGACCAAACTATCTGGCAGATAGTCTGCATGTTAATTCTTAAAACAGGCAAAATCATCTGCCAGTATAGTGAGATAATTTCAGTACATACAATGACTTTCGTACAAATGTTTAAAGTTAAATAATCTTATAATATTATTACAACAATCCTGATTTAAAATGATGCATCATGAAAGATTTCTCCAGACTGATGGAGAATGTGCTGCAGATGGTTCTTTATAGAACCGTTTTGAGAAGGGTTCTATTTAGCGCCAAAAAGGGTTCCCCTATTGTTATGATGTTAAGCTTGTCTTAATAGAATATAACTTTTTTCTCCATCAATCTGAAGAAAACTTTCATGATGCAAAGAACCTTTTAATCATGCAAAGGGTTCTTTAAGTGTTCATGGTTCTAACCATCTTTTTTAAGTGTGAGGGAATTGCCCAGAATCACTAAATCCCCCCCTGCCCGAAAGGGAAGTATTGAGACATCAGAACTTTCACAATAACATCAGGATCACACGCAGTTTCACTTCGCAGTGCGGCTGAATTAATTCTGGCTTTATCTAGACCGTACTACCGCCTGGAAGGCAAAGCTAGAGTAGTTTGTTTTATGATTGCCAATGCAAATATTACCCACACAATGCACCAACACAAACACTGAGTCTTAAAAATAAAACCGATGACACACAAACTGCTGGCATTCATTAAACCAAACTTTCAGCATGAAAATGCAAAGATTATTGGAAACTAGTGTTCAGCTCATTTCAGAATTCATACGAGTTTCATTGCAAATCATGGAACATCATCATACGATCATTGTAACAGTGTCAAGACCTGGTCTGAAAGGGATCTACATCTTTAAAGTTATGTTTTGTGGTCATTCATCTTTGATGACACTTTTCATGACAACTTACAGAAACCTGTACATACATTAATAAAGGCTTATTCTAAAGCATCAGTTGTCATAATACTTGCTGTGGTGAAATAACATCAAAATGAACAAAAGTAGCCTTTATAACAAATGACAATTGTTGGAATAAGCCTTTATAAATGTCTATGTAGCTTTATGACAGTTGTTGTGAAACACTGATATAGCCTTACAAGTGCTGCCCTATATTAACGTGTGAATGTATTTCAGAGCAATATGACATTGTCACTGTTCAAATTAGTTTATGAGAATATATCATCAAAATAACTTACAACGCTTTTCTTCTGAGATCAAATAATCTGTAGCTCACCAATAGCAACTTGTGGCATTAAATTTGTAAGCTATTTATACTCAGCTGGTAACAATTAATAGTACACCTCCTAGTGTTTACACTCAGTGTCCATTTTATCAGGTTTATTTACCATATAGGGGCATTTTGTAGTTCTACAATTACAGACTGTAGTCCACCTGTTTCTCTGCATACTTTGTTAGCCCCCTTTCAAAAAAAAACAAGGCTTTAGGAGCAAAAAGTCTCTCTTTCTCTCAATCTCTCTCTGTTTTTCATGATGCTCCTTTGTTGCTAAAACTGACTGTCCTAAAGAAACCAGCTTAGGTGTTTTCTACAGACCCCAGCTTCGTTCCTCTTTCATTTTTACTGAATGTAAAGGGTAGTGAGACAGTGGAGTGAAGAAAAAGAAGTACTGATCATACCAGTTAGTGATCATTTTATTAAATCAGTTGATCTATTGGTTGATCTGCATGATACATATACACATGATACTGAAGTTCAATATCCTCTTACTGTTTTCTCAGTCACAGAGAAATATATGACATCACTTTGTGGGTAAAGATTCTACAAGCATTTACAGAAACAATGTAAATCAACAAATCTTAGCAATATATCTATTAAGCATCCAGAATTTCCTATGAATCTTTGGATTTTGTGTGCAGATCTCACTGTGAGTAGAAGCCTCCATGTACAAAGAATGGATTATTTGTGTAGGCAAATATCAAATCTCTGTTGCAGCTTAAATTACAGCATAATCATGTCAGTGTAAAGTTTCAGAAAGAGGTCAGCGATCACTGTCAAATCAGTGTTCTAGCTCAGCTCATAACTGAGCCTATAATTGTAATTTTCTTCATCAGCACAGCAAAGAAGTGAAAATATGACCCTTAATATGACCTATTTGTGGTCCATCCACACTGCAAAAAAATCAAACAGAGTGATTAAACTGAATTCCTTGTTGTTATTGAAGAATAAGCCTTAGTATGTAATAAGCCTGGAATTTCTTAAGGGGTTAAATTATTTGTAGACATTTTAAAACTTGTTTTGATGCAGATATGCAGATTATCTGCAATATGTCTTGAAAAAGGACCATATTATTTGAGTTATGTCTTGAAACAACCAAAATTATCCACAGTGTGTCTTGAAAAAAGACAAAATTGTCCGCATTATGTCTAAAAAAAACAAATTATCTGCCAATAGAATGAAACATTTCTTTAAATAAATTGGCTGAAAACAAGTTGTTAAACATTTTTACAACAATCACAGAATGAGAAATATTAGATACGTTGACTAGATTTGAGATGTTTTCACTGGCCAAAATATAATTTATTGCACTGTACAAATGCATTCTTTTATAGCAACTCTTGCTGGGTTACAGAGAAGGACTGTGTTGTTGTAGCTAATAAAAACTAGGCAGGCTGGAAACAACGAATCTGCCATGATGCAAAAATTAGCTGGATTGCATGACAAAAAAGACACTTGATCTGTGACATACACATACAAAATGAGTATCATTTTAAATGAATATTACACTTTAAGTTCATCAAAAGTTGTTCACTAGTTTCTTAAGTTTAATTGGGATTTTTGTCAACACTAGTAAAACTTTTGTTGCTACATAAGAATGCATCTGTAAGTAGTGCATAGATATGTCAATTAAACACAATTCAATAACAACTTGCTTGAGTGCTGCTACATAATACTGACAAAGTCATGCCTTTAACCTGTCATAGCAGATGTCATATGTTGTCAAGAGTTATGACGGTAGTCTTTGTTCAGTAATGTAACAGTATCTTAACCATTGTTGGTAAATATCATGACAGATGCTGTGATGTTTGATGTCATAACTGCATCACAGTTAGCCATCATGATATCAAACATTATGGGATCTGTCATGACAGTTACTGGTAATGGTAACATATCTGATACGACATCTTCATGGCACGGTTTTACCCACAATTCTTTATGATAGTGTACATTATGATTCGGATGATTCGGCCCCCTGTTCCTTAGGCTTTCAGTTCAGGCAGGCACGGCCAGCCTCCTCAAATACTTTCTTCACCCCATCTTGTGTGAGAGCTGAGCACTCAAGGTACTTAACAGCTTTAATTTCTTTTGCAAGATCCTTCCCCTGCTGCTTGGTGACAGGAGTCAGGTTCTTCTCCTTCAGTTTTTTCAAAATTTCTCGATCTCCTCTGAGGTCCTTTTTGGTGCCCACCAGCAGGAAGGGCACTTCGCGGCAGTGTTGTGATACCTCAGGGTGCCACATAAGCCTGATGTTCTCAAAAGAGGTTGGGTCGGAGATGGAGAAGCAGAGGAGGAAGACATTGGTCCCACAGTAGCGTACGGTGCGCAATCGGTCATTCTTGTTCTGACCGACTGTTTCCTGCAGGTTAAGCTTGATGGATTTGGAGCCCACTGTGATCTGTGCATTGCTGCCGCAGGAGTTCAGAAGGCTGGTCTTTCCCACAGCTTTATCTCCAGCCACCACACACTTGATGCTCTCCATTTTCAGACTCTTACCACCTTTGTCAGAGGCCTGAAAAGCCTAAAAACATGTAATTGTTTGTAACAATGCAACTGACCCATCAATGCTCCACCCACAAATGCACTTCGTAGCAAATGTTGCAAGGTTGTACAAACTTGAATTAGGTTGATATTTATAGTCACTACATAACATTACGTTTTCACTGCTATGCAACCCAGTGTCAATCTATGACCTTTAGAGTTGGGCCTCCAGTTCGGGCCACAAGTGTCAAAACTACTCTAGGATAATGCTAATTTATGCTCCTATGAGATTTCTAATAGTATGTCAGCACTAAGCTAACGCTGGTGCACATCTTTTTGGTTGATTAAACTTTGACAGCTTGTAACAGGCATTGACATTGATATTTTCTCCTTGTATGTTGCAATTTTAGAGTGACTTTTTCAGAAAAGAACCTTGCCGTGGAGCATAGGGCTTTCCTTTTTGAACTACTGACTGAAACCTGGCTACACTATGGTTCGTGTTTGCACTCTGTGACGTATCCAGGGCTGTGTCCCAAACTACACTACACTATACATCTGAACTTGCAGACACTTGCCCAATCTGGACAAAAAGACTTAATAGATGCATACATAGTATGTTAAGTCAATCCACACGGCTGTAGTGCTGTCTATTTCTGCCGTTCACCTAGACCATAAAGAGCAAAATGCGGACTTCCTGCGATCTTCCAGAAAGGCCGCTCGGGATGTAGGCTTCAGAAGACTTGCTTGTGGATTCATAGTGAAACATGTGATGACATTAACAAAACAGGACGAGTTCCAAAATTAATTAATTAAATTGACACATTTTAGATTAACAGATGAAGATAGAATAATATGCAGATCATGTGTAAAGGTGCAGATTTTGGTGACAATATCAGTCATGGAAGTAGGTAGAGCTGAAATCTCCTCTCATAAGCGGTTTTTATACGCTTGCACCCACCTGTCCTCACAGATTTGATGTGAAGACGTTGAATACATCAGTCAACATCAGAGAACGTGAGTCCAAAGTTTGTGAGACCACAGACTGTGGGGCTGTAGTCAAGAGATTTAGATTACATACTATTTCAAAGAATGTATTGCTAACAGTGGTGTAACTACTTTCACATGCTGTGTAGTATGGTATGAGGGTTTGGATGCAGCCTAACTTTCAGAAGGCCTACAGTACTGTTTCTATTGTAAGTCAAAATGTGACTTGTTGATTCCACTGTCACTTCCTAATTATGCTGATGGATAATTGGACAAACTAGCTTCTGAAGTCCTAACCAATAAGAAAAACGAGCTTGGCTGTATATACCTAGATACCACAAGATTTTAACTTTTTTTTTCCAATTAAAACTTGCAATTAGATAAGCATAATGCTAGAATACATGTACAAGCATAACAAGTCTTTCAATTAAAAATACAAATTTTAAATAAAATTACAGATGTATATTTTTTTTAGTTCCTCAGCTATCCCAACAATCTGACCTCTAACACACGCAAAATAAATATCATTTGACATTAATAAGGCACTCCAAACGAAGGTATTTTGACAAAAAAACTATGTTTTGTCAAATTTCTGTAAAACTTGTCCAACTTCCCAACAGCTGCTAAGAAAGAACGCATTTGTGGGCAGAGCATGGATAGGTCAGTAATGCACAACACAGTGATTGCACATTGAAGAAGGCATAACTGTTCCATCTGTGCTGTATTTTGACTTCTTTATGCCAAAGAAATAAATTAATAAGAACTAAATCAAGTCTCCTGAACACTAATGGTGATTACTTATTTATACCAAAAATGGTGACTGTAATCTACTGTTTACAAAATAATACATCTTATAGATACAGATAGTGTTTTTAAAAACAGAATTACTTTGATAGAAAGCACTATATTCATAGATACATTTAGTAGTTTTACCAAACACAGACATCAAGAATAATTTCTGTTAACAAGGCATTCACCAGATGGAAATGCCACAACTATCATTATAATCCTGAATACATGATCAATACTGAGAAACTGTGAGTTACACAAATCCATTGAGAACACATCAGTGAGAATATTCTACTTATTTCAGTTTTAACCCTGTGTAATAGTATACATTATGAACATTTTTCCCAGTCCTGGCCTAAGACATGCCTTGTCTCAGTTTTATCACATACAAAACTGAAAAATATAACTGAACGATTAAAAGCTTTAACATACCCAGAATGCTTATCCTCGAAGACTAGACTGGCAGTGTAGTTCTTTCTCTATGTGCTATCGATCATGTACAACGCTAAAGTCAGTCTCCACCCCCAAACTACTGTCCAGCCACGTCAGCTACACTCTCTCATTTTCTGAACAGAGACGTTGGGAAGGCTCAGTAACTGTGAGGAAGTAATCTGTCTCACAGCAAGTTTTTTTGGTCATCTCTTCTGCTTTATAAAGTTTCAGAAGAGCACAACTAGTGCAAAAGTTTAATACATTTTAAGCCCAAGGACGTTTTTTAACTGTAAGGCAGAGGTTGCTTGTCAATGTGTCATGTTTGTGAAGGACACAAAGGTTTAAGGGTGCTACCAACCAGTTCAAGATGTTGACTTCAGTATATTAGTGCACATATACAGATACAGTGGCCCCAAAAAGTACTTGGACATTTGTGCCATACTTAATGCTACACTGTGTAAGTTTTATGGATGTGGAGACGCCTCTGGTGGAAATGTATAGTTGCACACAACGTACAGAAAAACATGTTGTAACATCAACTGTGCTTCAGACCCCTTACCGAGCAGATGAATCTGATGTTTGAAAATGTGTTGAAAGAGTATTCAAAGAGAACTCAGCCAAAACTTGCTGAAAGACGCGTCTCCCGGGGATGTAAGTGGATTATCTGCTATCGTCATCATATCTTCCACAGTATAATTTTGATTTCACATCTGAGACCTAAATATCAAGCTGGACTTTTTTTTTGAGCCTGCATGTTTGGTGTTAATATATAGAGACGTATGATGATATAGACTCCTACAAAAGATGTTCATACAACATCTTGTATGTAAATTATCAGGTCAGATTCCATTACCTGCTGTGCTAATCTATCATCCTCCTCCTATGCAGCGAAATTTTGTACGATCTGTCTGAACTGCTTACTGAACTATGTGCTCTGTCATCTTCTGACATATTACTTGGCGTCTTTATTGTACACATTGACATGGCTTCAACTACTTCTGCTGATTTTATGTCAGGGCTTGTCTGCTTTGGACTCACACAGCATGTAAACCTTCCCACACATGAGCATGGTCACACACTGGACTTAATTTGTACAACTGGACTTAATAATCTTGTTGCTTAGGGCACCCATATTGGTATATCTGACCATCATTTTCTTGAATTCAGTTTTAATCTCCATCTCCATAGGCACGCTGAGAAAACCATGGTGACTTGAAGGAATCTGAAATCTCTGGATCTTTTAGCTTTTTCTGCTTCACTTTGTTCTTCACCTCTCTCTAGCATCTCTGTCCTAATGAAATTATCTCTGTATATAATTATTCCACCTTGCATACTTTAGATGCTCTTGCACCTATTAAACAAAGGCTAGCTCCATCCTCCTGTTCTTCTCTGTGGTTTATCATTGAGCTTAGGGCTATAAAAGCCACTGGCAGACGTTACCATAAAATTGATTCAATCTGCCACCCCCTTACTTCTGGCCATCAGTGCCCCTCTGATTTGCTTTTCCCTGATATCGCCCAGCCACCTTCATGCCTAACTCATATCACATCTGTTTTTGTGGTAGTGTTCATTAAAAAATCCAGTCCAACATACACTGTTGGAAATAAAGGTACTGTGCTGGTACGTTTTTCATTCAATACGGTACACAAAATGTAAATGTACACTTAAAACTACAACAGTGGTTTTAAGGTCCAATGAACTATTTACATTTTTCCCAGGTGAAAAGTACATATTTGTACCTTTTTATATCCTAATGTTTTAAAACAGAACAATAAAATAAACAGCCTGAAGATGAGACGGTGTGTGTGGAGTCAATACAACTAAATAATTTCAATGGATTATGGTACAATTATGGTCCCTGACTAAAGGTCAAGATTAAGTGTAGCACCCCAGTGACAGTTTTGTACCTTTATTTCTGAGAGTTTATTATAAGTTAGATCCTGATCCTGCTCCCTTATTAAGCCTTATTAGCCATCTCTATCTCACACCTTATTAATGGATGTTTTGCAACCTGTTGTATCCCTGCTGATCTCGAGACCACTGTTGTAAAAAGTAAGAAGAATTTGTTGTTTTCAGAAAATAAGATGATGTCTTGTGTCTGAGTTGGAAGTACAAAGTTTGGTTAAAGATATCTCCTAGGTGACCCCAGCCCAGGATGTGTTAATGTGTTAAATTGCTAACACATAACTATAACTAGCACCCTTGATTTAACATAATTAAGTATTGATTAGCCAAACAAAGTATTGAATAATTATTGCAAATAATACTGGCTGTTTTGAGGAGAGGTTTGGAAAAGGTTAAACGAATACAATGACATACATAAATTCACCACTTATTGTGTGTACTGTGTGTATTTCTGCTATATCCACATTATTACAGTGACTTCACACACTGTGCTGAATGCAAATGTGTTGTTATATTTGGGATGCCTCAGTGCTCGGCGAGTACTGTTATAGCTACAAAGGGTGGGCCGACATCATATTAAACCCTATGGATTAAGAATGTGATCTCACTCCATTTCATATGCGTGTGAAGGCAGACAAGCGAATACTTTTGGCAATATAGTGTATGTAACAGGAAGTCATAGCTGAACACTTAAGTGCTCTTGATCACTCAGATGAACTTTAAAACATAAAATATGAACAGGAATGCAGTTAGATTTCAATCATAATGATGTCCAGGGGGCCAACAATTCTGGCACTTATAAATTTGAGAAAAATGTTTATTTCATGATAAGATTTTTTCTTTCAATCATTGTGCTTCAAATAAAGGTTTTTGTTGATATTTTGAATAAAAGATCAAATGGATAAGCAATAAAGACTGAATAAAGATAAAATACATTTTTTTACAGCCCTTTTTGCTCATGTTTTCTCAGAGTTGCTAATATTGGTGGAGGGCACTTTTTCTGACATTTGCTTTGGTCCGTATGTTTCTCTGAGCTGGCCTGAAGGGAGTTTATCAGTTTTATCCTCTTAGATTTAGTCTTTTGTTCACATGAGATTACTGATAATAATACAATAATAGAAAATCCAAATCTTTGTGAATAAACATATGAAAATATTGTAAAAGACTACATACTGTAAGACATTCGTTCAAAGTGTAACTATACAAAACGTCATCACTTTAGACCAATCAAGAACAGGTTTTGTGATATTTTCCTGATTGTACTAAACATAGTTCTTAGACATGAAAGAGTTAACATGTTCACTGAAATGCTTTAACTTTTATTTTACATGTATCCATATTAACTTAAGATGTCTTCTCAACTCTTCTGGTTGCACTAGCTTCAACCTTCAAACAAACATGGAGTGCTGAAATGCAGTGTTTTCTTTATCAAGTCTTTCCATAGATGGAAATATTACAATATTATAATAAGAAAAAGAATTAAGAACAACTGTGTTTACACACCAGCATCCAAAATCCCAGCTTTGAAGAAAAGATTCACCCATAGTCGATTAGCCAAGACATGTTTGTGTAAAGGTTGCTTTGGTTTGGAGTGGAGCTACGAGGCTAATATGAAAAGTATTTTGGTTGACATAGACTTCCATCACTTTTTGCCTACATTAGCATCATAGCTCTAGTACAACACTAGACTCTAGCCTTCTAAGAGTTAAACTTGGCGGTCCACATCCTAAGGCCTATTATAGTAACTACATGGAAACCAGTACTAAATGATCAAGTCATGGACCAACCAGCAGGTTTGTGAATGTTAAGGGGTTAAAAATCACTTTGAGTGGAATTACAGAAGATGTTGACCTCATAACCGCTTCAATCATTTAGTCCTTTAACTCACCTATAAGTGGCACATTCTCAGACGGGGGCATAATCTCTGCCACGAGTAGCTGAAAGACAGTGAGCGCCAACATCACAGTGACACCCAGAGACACTTTCTCTCCAGAGTCAGAAGGCAGATAGAAGCCCAGAGGGGTGAGGAAGGAGATCATCACGCAGGGGATCAGCAGATTAAACACGTAGAAGGTGGCCCTTCTCTTTAGCATTAGTGTGTAGGTTACATGTGGGTAGGGGTCAGCACAGCAGCCATACTGGACCATGTTTCTCTTTGCTGGCATCCCCAGCACCTCCCATTCTACATTATCCACCAAGTCAGCCAGGTCTGCACTATCCATGGCATTGAGAATGTCCAGCTGTTTGCCATTATAGGTCCAGGAGCCGTAGGTCAGACGGCACTGCTGGGCATCAAAGGGGAAAAAGGACACGTCTACCTTGCAGGAGCTTTTTGTGATGATAGGAGAGTCCCACATGATCTGGCCATCATGGCGGATCACTACGTTGGTGTCCATGGTGCCTGTGAAATGGTCATCCGCACTGAAACAAAGAGCAGAGACTGCTGGGAAATGACAAAGCATGCATTTTGAGCATCTGCAATGGAGGGTAATTCATATTCAAAAATATATTTACTCTCCAGTAGAGAGGAACAGCTCCTCATTCTATAATGCTGCACTCTTAAAAATAAAGTTCCTAAATGGTTCTTGCCTTAGGCACTTGGATTTAAAGGAAAATTGTTTAATTGGTATATAAACCTTTATATTATGTGGAAGTTCTTTAAACTGTGAAAGTGATCTTCATGCTTGCACTTTTCATTTGCTTCTTTAAACAACCATTAACTGAAAAGTCCTTTAGGAAACCATACATGGTTCTCCTATGGCATCACTCCACTTTTATTTTTAGAAGTGTGTGGCACCAGAAAATTATAAAAATTAAATAAAAACATACTCACAGTACCTCCCTCAAGAGAAAGACTGTAAGTGCATTGTTATTAAAGGTGCAAAGGCACAAGAATAGTGTTACGCCATCATTTTGTTTCTGCGTTTTATGTTGTCTGACAACAAACACAAATTGCTGAAAGGTTCCAAAGGAGCTTTACATAAACATTATATTGTTCTTAAAATCCTATATTTTCTTCCCCTGAGGTCCACTTGCAACATTTGTGTAATTTCATGTACCAAGAATGGTCTTAAGTCTTATTCGAGTTGGATTAGATTTTCTGGGGAGGTACAGTAATTTGAGTGATTACTGACTGATAATCTGACCTGTTCATAGTCTTTACAAGTTTGCTAAGTAATACATCCACACAGAATTACCTTCTATACTTTGTATAAAATTTGGAGCTCGCTCGGTAATAGCTAAATCCAGTTATAATAATTGGCACCTCTGTTTTTCGGTGACTGGGAGATGAGGCTAACAGCTAAAATGGAGTTTGACTTGGCTCAGTTCCTTCTTCCTCAAGTTCAAAACAGGACTTCTATAATCTACAACATTTTTGCTGATGGCCTAATTAGAATGAAAGCATCTTGAAAGTATCTCTCAAAGTACAGCGCAATTACTGTCCTGTTGGGCTGCAAGTTTAGTTTAATCAGCCCACATTACAATTATTACAGTATGTAACATTAACTGAGAGTTATTTTTTGTTGTTTGTTTGTTTGTATGTGTCTTTAGTTTTAATTTTTATGCTGAAGTAAAGGTCCAAGAACCTGTACTCTACCATCTGCCCCTTAGATTTTATATGGATTATATGGACTGGGAGGTGAATGGTACATTTTGAAACTTTAAGAATGTTTACATTCTGCATCAAACTCTTTTATTTTAAACTAAATTTTTAGGCCCTATTGTAAAATTGTATCAGAACCTGAAAGCAAACTTTTCATGTCTTTTCAGCAGATGCTTTTGACACAAAAAGCAGAAAACAAGATTAGTCTGAACACTTGTTGGTAAACAGTATCTTCAAGTGTTCAGCTTGTGCCTCCACAGGGTGAAAGGTAGTGGGATTACAAAAAAAGATAAACCCAACACCATGCCGACCTACTTGTTATATAAGACAATATCAGGTCTCCATACATAACTACCAGGTATACGGACGGTATCGAGTCCATCATAATCATCTTTATTCCAGGTCAGGTATGCATCATTCCACACCTGCCATATCCACAAATACGCTGTCAGAATCTGGTTACGCTCATCCTGCAACACAGGTGAACCAACAGAATTCTCAGAATTTCTCCAGAGTGTCAGTACAGCCTCGGTAGTAACTGAAGTCGATTCAGTTTGGATCTATGTGCACAGTAGAAGTGATCTGTGATTAGCATTTCTTACATAAACCAACCGGCCACTTCATGAAGTATACCTCCTTGTTTCTACACTCATTGTCCATTTTATCAGCTCCATTTTCCATATGGGTGCACTTTGTACTCCTACAGCTACAGACTGTAGTCCATCTGTTTCTCTAATTACTTTTTAGCCCTCTTTCATCCTGTTCTTCAATGATCAGGACCCTCATAGGACCACTACAGAGTAGGTATTATTTGGGTGGTGGATCATTCTCAGCACTGCAATGACACAGATGTGGAGCTATAGTCTCTGACTTTACATCTACAAGGTGGATCAACATGGTAGGTTAGTCTAATAGTGGACAGTGAGTGGAGTGATCCACTCTTATCAGCGCAACATGCACTGACATGCCACCACATTAGTGTCACTGCAGTGCAGAGAATGATCCAACACCCAAATAATACCTGTTCTGTGGTGGTCCTATGAGGGTTGCTGACCATTGAACAATGCCGTAATATATATATATATATATATATATCCATTTGTTCTTGATACAGCCAGCCTCAACAGCACCTGATTTAATTACCCAGTAAGTCTTTCTGTGGCTCAGTATAAAAGCTCATCATTAAATTAGGTGTTGCAGATCACAGGCAAAGTAACACATGCTAATGGAACTTCGTAATCAAACCACTTAAGAGGAACATAACATTGCTGTCATATTGCTGCTTGTGTGTTTGTCAAGTGCTGCTCAGAAACCTTTTGGACTTTTAGCATTAAAAGTATAATGTTTATTTCTCTGCTTATTTACAGAAAGAGAATGGAAATGTGATGCTTTCCTGATAGGCCAAGGGGCCTGACTGATATCATCACTCTCATAGCAAAACTGTGTATCTCCAAAATGACAACTGCAGGAGAAGGAGAATGTTCTAAAGTCCATATACTGTCGCATTAGTTCCACATTTGTCTGTGTCTGACTTAAGTTGACACCCACCCAAACAGCATTACCATGTCAATTATTTGGGAAAGCGTAATCTGTAGTGTGACGTTTAAGATGTCATTGGTGTTCTCCACTGGCTTCAGCGCGCTGGTGTAGTTTCCAAACAAGTTGTTCAGCAGCCTCTGCGCGTACTTCCCATGAGCTCCCCTGCTGGCTGGAACAGACACAGAGACAGAAAGAGAAATAGATGAGGGGAAAAAGAGACAGACTATGCATATGTGTCCATCATGGCATTTGAATATGATGACTCTGACAGTGTCAGAGTGGCCTGCTGTCGTTGCAAACATTGATCTGTAGTAAAAGCCAACAGAACCACAAGTTACTATTCAGTTTAAAGTCTCATTAAAAATGTTGCACCTGTAGTCTTAGTTATGGAATTTTGCTACTCAATGTACTGACTTTACTATAGAGGGTCAGCTAATAAACACATTTAAAAGGTTTAGGTTTTATGCTTTTGAGTATATTGAAATCAGTTACTGCTGAACCGTATATACACTGAGTTGTCAGTTTAAACCTCTTGTTGTTCCCAATTGTTTTATACATTGAATACATATTAAAGTACCTTTTTGTAGTGTAGTTTACCGCATTTTTAAACCTGCATAGTATAAATTGCTATTGTATATAAAATAACAAACTAATCAATACAAAAAGTGATTCCACTTTTGAACAGTAGTATACTTTGTATCTACACTCAGTGGACATTTTATCAGAACCTCTTTCCATATAAGAACACTTTGAGTGTTTAAAATGACTGTCTATGGCCCCTAAACAGTTTTTCAGACCCCTACCTTCCTATCAGTGGAAAGAGACCACGGTAGGACCACTGCTGACCAGATATTGTTAGGGTGGTGGACCACTCTCAGAACAGCAGTGACACCGACATGGTAGTGTGTGTTGTGCTGGCATAAGTGTATCAGGTACAGCAGCATTGCTGGGTTTTAACACACCACAGTCACCTCTGAGTTGAGAGTAGTCTACCAACCAAAAATATCCAACGAACAGCAGTTCTGTGGTCAGCAACTGGTCAGAAATACAACAGTGAACAGTGAATGACTTGAAACCAGTCTTGTCTACCATTCAGAGATTCCTTTGTGAAAATGTGCACATGCGTCATGGCTTAGTCCATAAAGACAGAGAATGGAGATTTCCTGCTAGATTACCCATCTGAGGCAACAGAAAAGAAGAGATTGGGTAAAACTGCCATTAAGAGGATGGACAGATGTCACGCATCCACCCCCCTACCCCACCCGTAATACTGAAATTAAGCTGGCCTGTATCACTGACCACCTAATCCATGGAACAGTTGTTGTTGTCCACCACAACAAAGAAAACAGAGAAAATGAAACATTTGATAAATGTAATGTTCTGCTTCAATGATGAATGTCCTAAAAGTAAAATCAAAGACACAAAGTACGGTAAAGTGACTGTTTCTCAAATCACATTAACTTTAAGCCAATAGCTTATTGGGCAAAGTGGGAAAATGAAATATTTCTCTTTAAATAGTTTGCACAGGGTCTAAAGGAAGGTCTTTGCTGTTATCTAAGTTTATCAGATGTTGGTATTGCTAAGCTGTTTCAGTTATGCATTGCAAGGGACACAAAGAAGAGTCACAAGATGAATGCTTTGAGCTCCCTAAACAACCCAATAACCCAAGCTCAGAGTTGTCAAATACTAAACATAAATATGAATAAAAATCCACATTTTTAACAAGAAATGAACAGTTCAGTTTCACAGGACACACATTTTTATTTCTACTCATTAAGAAGCCACATTTATTTACATTGTAGTCTATTTCTATGAATTACAGATGCTGTTTTATGCCTGAAACTGTGTCTTGAAACTTTTGTTTATTTGTAAATAAATAAATAAACATACAAAATATTAAGACATAATTTCAGGCATAAAACAGCATCTGTAATGCATCTCTGTTATAATTCTTTCTAATGCATTTTGTCTATACCTTTTCTGGCACCACATATAAACAATGTATAATAATATAAAACACAATATATGTAAAAAAAAAAATCTTCTTATAGCCTCTTAAAGTATCTTCTTTCTTATAACTTGAGCGTCTATAAATATATACAGGCAAAAAAAATTATTAGTCATTCAACATTAGTCCAAACTCAAACAATCAAATATGAATCTATAGAAACATTACCTGGTACAAAAATCATGCAGGCAATGAAGATGGAAAAACTGTGTTGTGTCAGCTCTCATCCTGCAGAAATAAAACCAGTTGTAGAACAGTGGTTGCTGCAGTATGTTCAGGTACAGCATGATATGCCAGACTTTAGAGCTTTCATCTAGAGCTTTATCACAACAGCCTGCAGAGGGCGGAAACTGGTTGGGTGCTGCATTTAATCCCTGAATTGATGGGTGTTGCCTGTTTGCTATTAAATTATGACAGTCATAGCCTATAGCAAAAAACAAAAACAAACAAGAAGAACTATTTAAACACATGAAAACCATTCATGCATTCTAAGGATTATTTGATTGATTTGAGTTGAGTCATAATTCTTCATGTAAACATAGCCTTTACTAAAGAGCCCTGGAAGAACTAGAAGAATATATTTCACATTTTTTTTGGCATGGACAAGTTGTTCATTTTCAGGTTATGTTTCTGAAGAGATTAGATATAAGATAATCCACGTATAAAAGGAAGGGAAAGTCCAAGGCAAAATAAGTTTCAAAAATATGAGTTCCCAAAACTGGAGTTCAGAAAATTAACAAAAGATTCAGAGAACAACTCAGGACTCCCAACAACCATTTAAGACCTGGCAGACCACCCAAACTGTCACAGTCATACAAACAGTACTTAAAGCTTTCATCTTTGAGAGAGAGGAGAAAGTCAAGCTCCACTCTTGATTCACATCTGAAAAAATCCACAGCCGTTTCTGTCCATCTTTCCACTGTGAGAAGAAACTCAGCACTGTGAGTCTGAAACAATGTGTGGCTGTCAAGGAGTTTTTACTGAGAAAAGAAAAATGAAACAAAAATGTAAAGACATGCGTCTCCAAAATACTAACCATGCAGGAGAAGACAGCAATGGTCTTAACTAGTAATCTAAGTTAATGTAAAGAGGTTCTAAAAGGTGTCACATTATTCCAAGTGATTGTGGAGCTTTTTTATTGATCTATCCATCACGAAATTTTCACACAATGTAAAAGAGCAGCTGCCATGTTCAGGTAATGTTGAAAAAGTATGGAGATACGTTCTTTTGTACAAATAAAACAAAGCTGCTGGTTTTCTCAAAACAATGGACTGACTGCCCCAGAGTCCAGACCTCAACATTATTGAATTGGATTGTGAGGAGCTAAAAAGGCACCCAAATTCTAAGACTGAACTTTGGAGGTGTGGAAACATATCCCTTCAGATTTCCCTGAAAAGCTGAAAACTAGTTCCATATGAAGAGAAAAATAAAAAAGAAAGATCTCCTTAATCTCTGTAGTTTCTCTAAGTGAACAATGAGATCAGATGGAAAAACAAAGGAATAATTTGTACTTAGTGGCTGCTCGATATTACCTTGTGTTCTTTCCACATTTCATTTAGTTTAATTTAGTTCTGTTTGATCACACATGCAGACAGCATCTTTGCCTGCTCAGATGTCACAGAATGCAAAATAATGGACCAACCAACTCAAGTCTACGCCTTAACATAATTGAATATGTTTGGGATTACTTGGCTTGTGAGAAGCAGAAAAAACAACCAACTTCTAAGACTAAATTTTGGAGGTGTGGATAAATATTATTGCAGATTTCTTTGGAAAACTGAAGGCAAGTCTTTCAAGAAGAATGGAAGCTGTAAAGTAAATGTAAAAGGTGGAGACACTAAACACTGGAAGAAAAAGACATCATATTTAGTTGTTGTGGCTTCTGAATAATTTGACTTAATCATGACTTTATTATATTCCTGCAATACACTTTTGAATTATGTGCTCAAATGTTCAGCACCATGGATAGTGCCTGTAGCTCAAGGATTCCTGATTCTATTACCATGGAAACAGGGGGATTTAGATTCCTAGTTGTGTGCCGGCCTGGGGCTTTTAGTCTTGCATTGTTTCAAATGCATAGTCTGCTTTATTTATGATAATAACTGTATGTAAATGTAAAGCGCATTCAGTGAGAATACAGACTGAAGACAGGTTGCTGAAGAGTTCTTGGCTTGGACATACAGTTCTAATAAAAAAGTTTAATTGGTCTAGAACTCTTACTTTTAATGGAGGCTCTTTAAATGTAAAAATATATTTCATTTACAAGATCCTTTGGTATCCATTGAAAGGGTCTTTAGGGAAGCAGAAGTTCTTCTATGGCAGTGCTTCAAGAAACCCTGGTGCCTTTATTTTTAAGTGTATGTATTTATTGCTGGATGAGCTTTTCTTTATGGATTTGTGTCACCCAAGAGTTCATCTGAAGCACTTTTGAGCTGTGGCCACTGTGGGGCAATATATACACATTTTTTGCTCTTCATTTGTCAGTTTGACATTTTTTTAAAGCGTTGGTGGAAATGATATTCAGCGTTAATGATTATCGATGTTAAAAATGTTCATCCAGTTTTTGGAAGATGCTTACTGCTGAAATGACCGACAGGTCATCTTTGGAAAGCAGAAGTAATATCAAAAGGAAAACTGGAAGACAGTCTGGCAGATCAGCAGCACATTTTGGCCTAGATTGTGAAATCTGGCCCAGACTGAACCTTCTTTTAGTTTCTTTTCTTGTGAGCGTGAACTTCAAGACTGAAAGCACCAAAGAGGACATATAAATAGAACAGCTATGTATCGTCCAGGTGAATGCTTATCAGTTATTTCCGGTGCGTGTCTGCCCAGAGGCCGTACCTACTTTTACTGCCAAATGTGCTTGTGACTAGAATTAGAAAGGACGGTGAGGCAGTGGCTGAGAATTGAACTATAGCTTTACCAGCTCTGACAGGCAAGGCCCCTTCATTTCACTCTCAAATTAGGCTGAGGCAAATCAGACACACTGACTGAGCCATTACGCAGTGTGGACAGTTCCGGGTGGCTGTAGATTTCATGCAACTTTACACTGAAGATAATAAAAGAGATTTGCTTGTTTTAAGAAATTATGCTTGAAATGAGCAAGATTAGTCCCATAGGAGTAAAACAAAAGGTCTGGAAATTTTAATAATATTAGAATATTATTACAACACTCTGAAGGTACAATGTTTTCACTTGTCAATATCCTTTTTTGGGATGCATTACATACTTTACAGTGAAAATGTCTTAAACCAGCAAAGAAAAATGTTTAAACGTATTGACCTGGCAGTAAATTCAATTTTGCTTAAAAAAAAAACTTTGTGTAGACTTCAGAAAAATGAGATTTCCTGTGCAATGGTTACGAGAATACAGCCTTTGGCTAGTGTTACAATTTTTTTTGTTTGTTTTATTGTAAAGGTATTATTATTATTATTATTATTATTATTGTTGTTAAAGTTTCATGTTATTATTAAAGTATGTTATTGTTTAACCAAGAAAACACTGTACCTTTTTTCTAAATGTTTTTCAGGTCATTTTGTCATATAAAATCTAGTATTAATCCAGCTATGATTAATGTATGCAGTGTAATTAATGTAATGTAATGTATGGATTAATCCTTCTGTCATAACCTTCAGAATATGTGTAGGAATGAGCTCTTTTGCTCCACCCATTGGATAGTACATTGTGTCCATTTTTACTTGTTTCTATAATAATGATAATAATAATAATAATAATAATAATAATAATAATAATAATAAGTTCAACTTATATAGTGCCTTACACAAACCCAAGGACGCTTTACATAGTGTCAAAAAAATCTAGAAGACTAAAGAGAGGATAAAAGGAAGGTTTATAGCAGAGATTTGAAGGAAGACAAAGAAGAGCAATTACGAAGAGTGGAAGGTAAGGTATATCCTAATGTGAGCATTTTTCCTAGAAAAATCTGCCCTGATAAATAGCTTTAACTGTGCTTTAACTGCCTGGTACTGTTGTTTTTTTCATTTGTGCAGTTTCATTGGTAGACAAGTGAGTGTCTTTAAAAATGTAATTAATAATTAAACCTACTTCAGGCTATTAAGTATCTGTGAGTAAACACTAACCACTTAATAAAAGACAATTTAATTTCATACCTGTTCAAGTACATTTGAAAGGAAAGTTGATTGGTTTCTGGGCCTCTGTTTTAGAGGCTTGCAAAGCACACTTTATGCTGGAATGACTCAAAAGCAGGGAAGGTCTTTTTCACTAGGCAAAGGTGGCCCCAATGAGTCAAGGGCCCCGTGAAAATACAAACTAGATATACTGTACAAGTTGATGTGAAACAATGTGTTCTGAAATAAATATAAATTTTAAAATAGCTTTTATTTCCAATTGTATTGTATTGTACTGTATTCTTTTCAGTAATGTTAATGTAGCCCCACCCCCAGATCTTGGTTATAATAGACTATTCCATGTTGTTACGTGATGACACAAGTGTGCAAAGACAGACTGGTATGAACAAGACAATTAAGCAATAATCTACATGATGGAGAGGATGTCCTTGTGATTTTTTTGGGTATTAAGAAGGAAAATCAAATAAAGTTATACGAGCATAGCAAAAAAAACAGAAAAACATTCCCTACATCCCCAAATCTAACTTTGTTTTTTCAGTCAGAATAGAGTGCTGCACACGTTCAGCAGACCATACATAATGTTAGCATAGATAGCTCCATTGTCAGGGTAAGTACTCAAAAAAAAAGTAATCCATCACAAGTTGCTAATTGCTTCTCTCATAAAGTAGTGGGTTGCCATTACTTATTACTTCCTGGAAAACATAATCTCGTTACTCATTACTTTGCTTCTGCAATAGTTTGGACCAAACTATCTGGCAGATAGTCTGCATGTTAATTCTTAAAACAGGCAAAATCATCTGCCAGTATAGTGAGATAATTTCAGTACATACAATGACTTTCGTACAAATGTTTAAAGTTAAATAATCTTATAATATTATTACAACAATCCTGATTTAAAATGATGCATCATGAAAGATTTCTCCAGACTGATGGAGAATGTGCTGCAGATGGTTCTTTATAGAACCGTTTTGAGAAGGGTTCTATTTAGCGCCAAAAAGGGTTCCCCTATTGTTATGATGTTAAGCTTGTCTTAATAGAATATAACTTTTTTCTCCATCAATCTGAAGAAAACTTTCATGATGCAAAGAACCTTTTAATCATGCAAAGGGTTCTTTAAGTGTTCATGGTTCTAACCATCTTTTTTAAGTGTGAGGGAATTGCCCAGAAACACTAAATCCCCCCCTGCCCGAAAGGGAAGTATTGAGACATCAGAACTTTCACAATAACATCAGGATCACACGCAGTTTCACTTCGCAGTGCGGCTGAATTAATTCTGGCTTTATCTAGACCGTACTACCGCCTGGAAGGCAAAGCTAGAGTAGTTTGTTTTATGATTGCCAATGCAAATATTACCCACACAATGCACCAACACAAACACTGAGTCTTAAAAATAAAACCGATGACACACAAACTGCTGGCATTCATTAAACTAAACTTTCAGCATGAAAATGCAAAGATTATTGGAAACTAGTGTTCAGCTCATTTCAGAATTCATACGAGTTTCATTGCAAATCATGGAACATCATCATACGATCATTGTAACAGTGTCAAGACCTGGTCTGAAAGGGATCTGCATCTTTAAAGTTATGTTTTGTGGTCATTCATCTTTGATGACACTTTTCATGACAACTTACAGAAACCTGTACATACATTAATAAAGGCTTATTCTAAAGCATCAGTTGTCATAATACTTGCTGTGGTGAAATAACATCAAAATGAACAAAAGTAGCCTTTATAACAAATGACATTTGTTGGAATAAGCCTTTATAAATGTTTATGTAGCTTTATGACAATTGTTGTGAAACACTGATATAGCCTTACAAGTGCTGCCCTATATTAACGTGTGAATGTATTTCAGAGCAATATGACATTGTCACTGTTCAAATTAGTTTATGAGAATATATCATCAAAATAACTTACAACGCTTTTCTTCTGAGATCAAATAATCTGTAGCTCACCAATAGCAACTTGTGGCATTAAATTTGAAAGCTAATTATACTCAGCTGGTAACAATTAATAGTACACCTCCTTGTGTTTACACTCAGTGTCCATTTTATCAGGTTTATTTACCATATAGGGGCATTTTGTAGTTCTACAATTACAGACTGTAGTCCACCTGTTTCTTTGCATACTTTGTTAGCCCCCTTTCACCCTGTTCTTCAATAGTCATGACCCCCACAGGACCACCACAGTGCAGGTATTATTTGGGTTTTGGATCATTCTCAGCACCGCAGTGACACTGATGTGGCAGTGCCTTTTTAGTGTGTGTTGCGCTGGTACAAGTGGATCAGATGCAGCAGTGCTGCTGAAGTATTTCTTAATGAAGTGGCAGATCCATATGTACATCATTTACAGGATTTACTTTAACTCCTTAGACACTCATGACTTGCCTGCAAGTCCAGGCTTCCATTCTCCATATTCACTCCTATAATTTACTACTACTCTCAACTCGGTCAGTTTGCATTGTAATCTATGTAGTTACTGAATAACGAGCTGTAGGATGTAATAAACCTCAGAATTTTTAAGGGTTAAAAAAGAGTAAAAAAAACAAGGCTCTAGGAGCAAAAAGTCTCTCTTTTTCTCAATCTCTGTCTGTTTTTCATGATGCTCCTTTGTTGCTAAAACTGACTGTGGTAAAGAAACCAGCTTAGGTGTTTTCTACAGACCCCAGCTTCGTTCCTCTTTCATTTTTACTGAATGTAAAGGGTAGTGAGACAGTGGAGTGAAGAAAAAGAAGCACTGAGCGACTTCTTTTTTTTTTGGAGAAAAAAGTCCAAGTCAGAATTTACAAAGCAGTCAAGGGTCATGAATTCCCACAGTATCTCTCTCACTGAGATCAGGATAAACAGTTCAAGAAGCCAGTTAGTGATCATTTTATTAAATCAGTTGATCTATTGGTTGATCTGCATGATACATATACACATGATACTGAAGTTCAATATCCTCTTACTGTTTTCTCAGTCACAGTCACATGACATCACTTTGTGGGTAAAGATTCTACAAGCATATAGAGAAACAACGTAAAGCCACAAATCTTAGCAATATATCTATTAAGCATCCAGAATTTCCTATGAATCTTTGGATTTTGTGTACAGATTTCACTGTGAGTAGAAGCCTCCATGTACAAAGAATGGATTATATGTGTAGGCAAATATCAAATCTCTGTTGCAGCTTAAATTACAGCATAATCATGTCAGTGTACGGTTTCAGAAAGAGGTCAGCGATCACTGTCAAATCAGTGTTCTAGCTCAGCTCATAACTGAGCCTATAATTGCAATTTTCTTCATCAGCACAGCAAAGAAGTGAAAATATGACCCTTAATATGACCTATTTGTGGTCCATCCACACTGCAGAAAAAAGAGTGATTAAACTGAATTCCTTGTTGTTGTTGAAGAATAAGCCTTAGTATGTAATAAGCCTGGATTTTTTAAGGGGTTAAATTATTTGTAGACATTTTAAAACTTGTTTTGATGCAGATAATTATTTCTTGAAGTAAAATTATCTGCAATATGTCTTGAAAAAAGACCATATTATTTGAGTTATGTCTTGAAACAACCAAAATTATCTACATCATGTCTTGAAAAAAGACAAAATTGTCTGCATTATGTCTCAAATAATTATCTGTCAATAGAATGAGACATTTCTTTAAATAAATTGGCTGAAAACAAGTTATAAAACATTTTTTACAACAATCACAGAATGAGAAATATTAGATACGTTGACTAGATTTGAGATGTTTTCACTGGCCAAAATATAATTTATTGCACTGTACAAATGCATTCTTTTATAGCAACTCTTGCTAGGTTAGACAAGCATCCTGCTTAAAGTGCTGGGCTACAGAGAAGGACTCTGTTATTGTATCTAACAGAAACTAGGCAGGCTGGAAACAACGAATCTGCCATGATGCAAAAATTAGCTGGATTGCATGACAAAAAAGACACTTGATCTGTGACATACACATACAAAATGAGTATCATTTTAAATGAATATTACACTTTAAGTTCATCAAAAGTTGCTCACCAGTTTCTTAAGTTTAATTGGGATTTTTGTCAACACTAGTAAAACTTTTGTTGCTACATAAGAATGTGTCTGTAAGTAGTGCATAGATATGTCAATTAAACACAATTCAATAACAACTTGCTTGAGTGCTGCTACATAATACTGACAAAGTCATGCCTTTAACCTGTCATAGCAGATGTCATATGTTGCCAAGAGTTATGACGGTAGTCTTTGTTCAGTAATATAACAGTATCTTAACCATTGTTGGTAAATATCATGACAGATGCTGTGATGTTTGATGTCATAACTGCATCACAGTTAGCCATCATGATATCAAACATTATGGGATCTGTCATGACAGTTACTGGTAAAGGTAACATAACGCTAAACAAAATCTGCATTGACAACTCATGACTATCTGGTATGACATCTTCATGGCATGGTTTTACCCACAATTCTTTATGATAGTGCACAGAATGATTCATCCTCAGGCTTTGGGTTCAGGCAGGCACGGACAGCCTCTTCAAATACTTCCTTCACCCCATCTTGTGTGAGAGCTGAGCACTCAAGGTACTTAACAGCTTTAATTTCTTTTGCAAGAGCCTCCCCCTGCTGCTTGGTGACAGGAGTCAGGTTCTGCTCCTTCAGTTTTTTCAAAATTTCTCGATCTCCTCTGAGGTCCTTTTTGGTGCCCACCAGCAGGAAGGGCACTTCGCGGCAGTGTTGTGATACCTCAGGGTGCCACATAAGCCTGATGTTCTCAAAAGAGGTTGGGTTGGAGATGGAGAAGCAGAGGATGAAGACATTGGTCCCACAGTAGCGTACGGTGCGCAATCGGTCATTCTTGCTCTGACCAACTGTTTCCTGCAGGTTAAGCTTGATGGATTTGGAGTCCACTGTGATCTGTGCATTGGTGGCGCAGGAGTTCAGAAGGCTGGTCTTTCCCACAGCTTTATCTCCAGCCACCACACACTTGATGCTCTCCATTTTCAGACTCTTACCACCTTTGTCAGAGACCTGAAAAGCCTAAAAACATGTAATTGTTTGTAACAGTGCAACTGACCCATCAATGCTCCACCCACAAATGCACTTCGTAGCAATTGTTGCAAGGTTGTACAAACTTGAATTAGGTTGATATTTATAGTCACTACATAACATTATGTTTTCACTGCTACGCAACCCAGTGTCAATCTATGACCTTTAGAGTTGAGCCTTCCGTTCGGGTCACAAGTGTCAAAACTACTCTAGGATAATGCTAATTTATGCTCCTATGAGATTTCTAATAGTATGTCAGCACTAAGCTAATGCTGATGCACATTTTTTGGTTGATTAAACTTTGACAGCTTGTAACAGGCATTGACATTGATATTTTCTCCTTGTATGTTGCAATTTTAGAGTGACTTTTTCAGAAAAGAACCTTGCCGTGGAGCATAGGGCTTTCCTTTTCGAACTACTGACTGAAACCTGGCTACACTATGGTTCGTGTTTGCACTCTGTGACGTATCCAGGGCTGTGTCCCAAACCACATACTACGCTACACTATACATCTGAACTTGCAGACACTGACTTGCCCAATCCGGGCAAAAAGACTTAACATGCGCGTTGCAGAGCAAGTCCACAGGGCTATAGTGCTGTCTATTTCCGCTGTTCACCTTGACCATATTGGGCAAAATGCGGACTTCCTGCGATCTTCCAGAAAGGCCGCTCGGGATGTAGGCTTCAGAAGACTTGCTTGTGGATTCATAGTGAAACATATGTGATGACATTAACAAAACAGGACGAGTTCCAAAATTAATTAATTAAATTGACACATTTTAGATTAACAGATGAAGATAGAATAATATGCAGATCATGTGTAAAGGTGCAGATTTTGGTGACAATATCAGTCATGGAAGTAGGTAGAGCTGAAATCTCCTCTCATAAGCGGTTTTTATGCGCTTGCACCCACCTGTCCTCACAGATTTGATGTGAAGACGTTGAATACATCAGTCAACATCAGAGAACGTGAGTCCAAAGTTTGTGAGACCACAGACTGTGGGGCTGTAGTCAAGAGATTTAGATTACATACTATTTCAAAGAATGTATTGCTAACAGTGGTGTAACTACTTTCACATGCTGTGTAGTATGGTATGAGGGTTTGGATGCAGCCTAACTTTCAGAAGGCCTACAGTACTGTTTCTATTGTAAGTCAAAATGTGACTTGTTGATTCCACTGTCACTTCCTAATTATGTTGATGGATAATTGGACAAACCAGCTTCTGAAGTTCTAACCAAGAAGAAAAACGAGCTTGGCTGTATATACCTAGATACCACAAGATTTTAACTTTTTTTTTTCCAATTAAAACTTGCAATTAGATAAGCATAATGCTAGAATACATGTAGCAAGCATAATAAGTCTTTCAATTAAAAATACAAATTTTAAATAAAATTACAGATGTATATTTTTTTAGTTCCTCAGCTATCCCAACAATCTGACCTCTAACACACCCAAAATAAATATCATTTGACATTAATAAGGCACTCCAAACGAAGGTATTTTGACAAAAAAACTATGTTTTGTCAAATTTCTGTAAAACTTGTCGAACTTCGCTACAGCTGCTAAGAAAAACGCATTTGTAGGCAGAGCATGGATAGGTCAGTAATGCACAACACAGTGATTGCACATTGAAGAAGGCATAGCTGTTCCATCTGTGCTGTATTTTGACTTCTTTATGCCAAAGAAATAAATTAATAAGAACTAAATCAAGTCTCCTGAACACTGATGGTGATTACTTATTTATACCAAAAATGGTGACTGTAATCTACTGTTTACAAAATAATACATCTTATAGATACAGATAGTGTTTTTAAAAACAGAATTACTTTGATAGAAAGCACTATATTCATAGATACATTTAGTAGTTTTACCAAACACAGACATCCAGAATAATTTCTGTTAACAAGGCATTCACCAGATGGAAATGCCACAACTATCATTATAATCCTGAATACATGATCAATACTGAGAAACTGTGAGTTACACAAATCCATTGAGAACACATCAGTGAGAATATTCTACTTATTTCAGTTTTAACCCTGTGTAACAGTATACATTATGAACATTTTTCCCAGTCTTGGCCTTAGACATGCCTTGTCTCAGTTTTTCAGAAAAATATAACTGAATGATTAAAAGCTTTAACATACCCAGAATGCTTATCCTCGAAGACTAGACTGGCAGTGTAGTTCTTTCTCTATGTGCTATCAATCGACAATGCTAAAGTCAGTCTCCACCCCCAAACTACTGTCCAGCCACGTCAGCTCATTCCTTCATTTTCTGAACAGATGTTGGGCAGGCTCAGTAACTGTGAGGAAGTAATCTGTCTCACAACAAATTTTTTTGGTCATCTCTTCTGCTTTATAAAGTTTCAGAAGAGCACAACTCGTGCAAAAGTTTAATACATTTTAAGCCAAAGGACGTTTTTAACTGTAAGGCAGAGGTTGCTTGTCAATGTGTCATGTTCGTGAAAGACACAAAGGTTTAAGGGTGCTACCAACCAGTTCAAGATGTTGACTTCAGTATATTAGTGCACATATACAGATACAGTGGCCCCAAAAAGTACTTGGACATTTGTGCCATACTTAATGCTACACTGTGCAAGTTTTGGGGATGTGGAGACGTCTCTGGTGGAAATGTATAGTTGCACACAACGTACAGAAAAACATGTTGTAACATCAACTGTGCTTCGGACCCCTTACCGAGCAGATGAATCTAATGTTTAAGAGCATTTTGAAAGAGTATTCAAAGAGATGTCATCATATCTTCCACAGTATAATTTTGATTTCACATCTGAGACCTATATCAAGCTGGACCTTCTTTTTTGAGCCTGCATGTTTGGTGTTAATATATATGGACATATGATGATATGGACACCTACAAAAGATCTTCTTTTGAACATCTTTTATGTATCTTATCAGGTCAGATTCCATTACCTGCTGTGCTAATCTATCGTCCTCCTCCTATGCAGTCTGTGGTTTTGTCTGAACTGCTTACTGAACTATGTGCTCTGTCATCTTCTGACATATTACTTGATGTCTTTATTGTACACATTGACATGGCTTCAACTATTTCTGCTGATTTTATGTCAGGGCTTGTCTGCTTTGGACTCACACAGCATGTAAACTTTCCCACACATGAGCATGGTCACACACTGGACTTAATAAGTACAACTGGATTTAATAATCTTGTTGCTTAGGGCACCCATATTGGTGTATCTGACCATCATTTTCTTGAATTCAGTTTTAATCTCCATCTCCATAGGCACTCCGAGAAAACCATGGTGACTTGCAGGAATCTGAAATCTCTGGATCTTTTAGCTTTTTCTGCTTCACTTTGTTCTTCACCTCTCTCTAGCATCTCTGTCCTAATGAAATTCTCTCTGTATATAATTATTCCATCTTGCATACTTTAGATGCTCTAGCACCTATTAAACAAAGGCTAGCTCCATCCTCCTGTTCTTCTCTGTGGTTTATCATTGAGCTTAGGGATATGGCAGACGTCTTAAGTGGCTTCATAGGAAAACTGGCCTTACTGTATATTCTCTGGCCTAGGCAGACCATACGTCTGGATACATAGACGCTTTAAATAGTGTTCATTCTACTTATCTATCTTTGGTGATCCACCATAGCTCATGCCAGCCCAGGACCCTTTTCAACACTATTGATAAATTCCTGCAGCCCCCAGTAGTAGCTTCTTCTGGTTTAGTTAATTTTGGCAGTGAATTTGCTCACTTTTTTCACCATAAAATTGTTTCAATCTGCCACCCCCTTACTTCTGGCCATCAGTGCCCCTCTGATTTGTTTTTCCCTGATATTGCCCAGCCACCTTCATGCCTCACTCCTGTCACATCTGTTTTTGTGGTAGAGTTCATTAAAAAAATCCAATCCAACATACACTGTTGGAAATAAAGGTACTGTGCTGGTACATTTTTCATTCAATAAGGTACACAAAATGTAAATGTACACTTAAAGCTACAACAGTGGTTTTAAGGTCCAATGAACTATTTACGTTTTTCCCAGGTGAAAAGTACATATTTGTACCTTTTTATATCCTAATGTTTTAAAACAGAACAATAAAATAAACAGCCTGGAGATGAGACGGTGTGTGTGGAGTCAAGACAACTTAAAAATGTATAATTTCAATGGATTATGGTACAATTATGTTCTCTGACTAAAGGTCAAGGTTAAGTGTAGCACCCCAGTGACAGTTTTGTACCTTTATTTCTGAGAGTTTATTATAAGTTAGATCCTGATCCTGCTCCCTTATTAAGCCTTATTAGCCATCTCTATCTCACACCTTATTAATGGATGTTTTGCAACCTGTTGTATCCCTGCTGATCTCGAGACCACTGTTGTAAAAAGTAAGAATTTGTTGTTTTCAGAAAAATAAGCTGATGTCTTGTGTCTGAGTTAGAAGTACAAAGTTTGGTTAAAGATATCTCCTAGGTGACCCCAGCCCAGGAAGAATGTGTTAAATTGCTAACACATAACTATAACTAGCACCCTTGATTTAACATAATTAAGTATTGATTAGCCAAACAAAGCATTGGATAATTACTGCAAATAATATTGGCTGTTTTGAGAAGAGGTTTGAAAAAGGTTAAATGAATACAATGACATACATAAATTCACCACTTATTGTGTGTACTGTATGTATTTCTGCTATATCCACATTATTACAGTGACTTCACACACTGTGCTGAATGCAAATGTGTTGTTATATTTGGGATGCCTCAGTGCTCGGCGAGTACTGTTATAGCTACAAAGGGTGGGCCGACATCATATTAAACCCTATGGATTAAGAATGTGATCTCACTCCATTTCATATGCGTGTGAAGGCAGACAAGCGAATACTTTTGGCAATATAGTGTATGTAACAGGAAGTCATAGCTGAACACTTAAGTGCTCTTGATCACTCAGATGAACTTTAAAACATAAAATATGAACAGGAATGCAGTTAGATTTCAATCATAATGATCGCAGACCGACGACCGCAATATAGTTTTTACACTGTTTAACTGACAAAAAACTGCAAGAACGTTCCAGTTTCACTTTAAGAACTTGGCACAGCATTTTAATAATAACGTAAACGATATCACTATTCTCAAGAAACATGTAGTGACTTAAATCACTGGTTGTTTCAGATTGTGGGAAATACAGCCTTTAGAAATTTGCTCATAAAAAAAGAAAAAAACTTCACTACACCATTCATCTCTTTGCAACATATTTGTAGGTGTGTCATGTATTATGTACAGTTGCTCAGTTATAATGTCTACAATAAGCTTTAAATATACAAGAATGTCTATGTCTTAAGCAGTTTATGGTCTACATATTATCAGTATTAGGGTAAACAATAAAAAGACATAAAATAGAACTACATTCAGTTTAAATGGTCTTATACACTGGCCATAAGCATAAAACATCACACATATAATGCATAATGACATTACACACTGAAGTTTATGAATGAAAATGTAACCCATTACTACTTATATAGTGCCCTCCACAAATATTGGCAGTCTGGTAAATGTGAGCAAAATTATGCTGTAAAAAAACATTCTTTACTGTTTATCCTTTTGATTTTTCATTCAAAATATGAACAAAAATCTAACTTTTTGAAGTAAAATGATTGAAAGAAACAACTAAATCTTTTCTTGGAATAAATATTTTTTCTCAAATTTAAGAGTAACTTATAACTTATAAGTAGCACCCCTACATTTAGTACTTTGTGCAGCCTCCCTTTGCAATGATCACAGCTCTAAGTCTTCTCCTATACTGCTTAATACAACTGGAGAACACATGGCAAGAGATCTGAGGCCATTCCTCCACACAGAACCTCTCCAGATCCTTCAGATTCCAAGGTTCATGCTTGTGGACTTTGCTCTTCAGCTCTTGCTCTTCATTTTCCTCTGTTTATCTATTTTCTTGCAGCCGTTTCCTGATTTGTGCAGCTCAACAACCTATTGTCGCACATCATTGCTGTATTCTCTGGCCTTTCTCATAGTGATGGATGTCTGAGGGCATTTGACCTGTGTTTCATCTCATATATTAGATATATAACAGGAAGTCATAGCTGAACATTTAAATGCTCTTAATCGCTCAGATGAACTTTAAAACATAAAATACGAACAGGAATACAGTTAGATTTCAATCATAATGATGTCCAGGGTACCAACAATTCTGGCACTTATAAATTTAAGAAAAATATGTATTTCATGATAAGATTTTTTCTTTCAATCATTGTGCTTCAAATAAAGGTTAGATTTTTGTTGATATTTTGAATAAAAGATCAAATGAATAAGCAATAAAGACTAAGTAAAGATGAAATAACGTTTTTTTACAGCCCTTTTTGCTCATGTTTTCTCAGAGTTGCTAATATTGGTGGAGGGCACTGTTTCTGACATTTGCTTTGGTCCGTGTGTTCTCTGAGCTGGCCTAAAGGGAGTTATCAATTTTATCCTCTTAGATTTAGTCTTTTGTTCACATGAGATTACTGATAATAATAAAATAATAGAAAATCCAAATCTTTGTGAATAAACATATGAAAATATTGACTACTACATACTGTAAGACATTCATTCAAAGTATAACTACACAAAACGTCATCACTTTAGACCAATCAAGAACAGATTTTGTGATATTTTCCTGATTGTACTAAACATTACTAAAGTAATGTTGGACATGAAAGTTCTTGGACATGAAAGAGTTAGCATGTTCAGTGTTTTCCATATCAAGTCTTTCCATAGATGGAAATATCAGCACAAATGCTGGAGATTCTTGTGTTGCTATGTATTAGAGTTTCATTTTTGCTCTTGTTTATGCCTAATTGGAGCCTGTGGTTGTTTATTTGTACACTGTATGGTACTTTAGCAGAACAATAAACAAAAAAAAAGATTATAATAAATAAATAATTTAAGAAAAAAATCAAGGAGCAACTGTGTTTACACACCAGCATCCAAAATCTCAGCTTTGAAGAAAAGATTCACCCATAGTCGATTGGCCAAGACATGTTTGTGTAAAGGTTGCTTTGTTTTGGAGTGGAGCTACGAGGCTAATATGAAAAGTATTTTGGGTGACATAGCCTTGCATCAATTTTTGCCTACATTAGCATCGTAGCTCTAGCGCAAAACTAAAGAAAAGAAAAGAAAAGAAAAGAAAGGGGAAGTACGGAGCCCCGCTGGTGACATCTTATATAAATAAAAATAATGCGTGGCCACGCCTTCTTAAC